CCCTGGTCTTCATTTACGTTCTTCAGACATTATTGTAATCTTTTTAAAGCCTCGCATTGCGAATTTAATGAAGTTGATATATGTATGTAGTCAAGGCACTTGGGACTTTCGCTCCAGACTCCATTGATAGAAACCGATCAATCATTCGCTTCTGAGGTAGAGGGACACGAGTGAAGGCGAGTATCCGCCAGGAGAATAGAACACGCAAGGTAAAAAGATCATGATGTAGACCCAATTGAACAAAGTTATTGCTACAGGCCGCAAGGTCCTTCCGGCTCCGTCGCTAAAAGATGAAGTCTCGATATCCGTCGTGGTAGCGGAAGGAGGCAGTCTTTTGAACGTTACCTAAGGCACCTGAGGGCTGTGGGCACAGGCACAGTATGACCCCCACCAATGGCCCCTGCAGCCGTGTCCCCCGGTCGTTCAATTAAAGGCAGAACGCGGCCCCGCCACTCCAGACGCGTTCAAAGCGCGACTTTCTCGAGTTTCCATCTAACTTCTGGCGCGTCATCCCGGCACTGGTCCCCAGCTTCCGCCCCGAGTGGGATCAGTTTCAACACACCAAAGCTCGATCTTGTCGGGCACCGCGGGTCACCTTTCGCGTTGAGACGTACTGGCATTCCTTCGCTCCTTCAGCACATCGGCATATTTGCTCACTGCCGATAGCTCTTTCCAACCACCAATTCTGTATCCTGTTGACCTGTCCCTTGAAAGCTCACGAGCTTCATCACTCTCGTTACATTTCGCCCATCCATCACACTCTCTTCCTTCCACTTGTCTGCTGCATAACCAGATACCACCAGAAGTCGGCATCATGGGAGAGAGAACCTCCTCTGTCGCCCGTACGCCGGCCAAGACTCCATCGACGCTCAAGCGCCAGCCGTCATCATCGGCTGGAACCCAAAAGACCATTGTTCAGTTCTTCTCCAAATCCGCCAGTGTCTCTCGCTCAACACCGACCCCGAAGCCCACGGCTAAAGCTCCCGACTCGTCTCCTTGCCTGAGAGAGTCGAAACGGACGAACACACTTCCCCAGGCTCCGAAATCTTCCAGCCTTACTCCTGTGCCCAGTAGCGATGCCATTGAGCCCGCAAGCTCTCAGGAGAACTTGAGTGTCTCAACAGTCAAGGTAGCCGATGACTCCTTGCCATCGCCATCTACTTCAGCTGAGCACATGACTTCACAGACCACTACCAAGCTACCTGTGCCATCCTCAAGCCCATCCCGCAAGGTACTTCACCTACTTCCCTCTTAACATCGATAGGCATTGTGCTAATGCTCCCCATCCAGTCTAGAAAGCCTGTCAACTACGCCGAAGCCTCCGACGATGAGGATGACGACCCTTTCGTTCGACTCCGAACCGCAAGCACACGCCGCCGCACACGGACACAGGCCGTCATTGTGGACGATGGCGATGACTATGAGGAGGACGCAGCAAGCAATGACATGCCCGACGACGATGATGGTGGGTATTCTTGTCTTTGCCTAATGGATTATGGTCTAACATACTGAACTAGATATGATTGACTTCGTCGTTAGTGACGAGTCGGATGAAGGCTCGCAATCCAAGAAGCGGAAACGCCCTGCAGCAGCCAAGGCAGCGTCACGGAAGAAGTCTCACGTCTCGTCTCCCATCAAGGAAGAAGAGTACGAAGAAGTAGACGACGAGGCTATGCTGGATGTCCCGATGCCTTCGACCGCTCAGCAGTGGCGTTATGACCCTGACAGCGTTGCGTCTGCCACTCCCCGCACCGTTGCCACCCAACAAGCTCGTCGTCCTACCAAGACGAAAGAGAAGGCGCACACCAGAGATCCGGAGGACCGATATCCCTGGCTCGCCAACATTGTGGACATGAACAAGAAACCTCGAGGTGACCCTGACTACGATCCATCATCGGTGTACGTCCCACCTGGTGCTTGGAACAACTTCTCCCCATTCGAGAAGCAATACTGGGAAATCAAGCAAAAGCTGTGGGACACTGTCGTTTTCTTCAAGAAGGGCAAGTTTTACGAGCTTTATGAAAACGATGCCACCATTGGTCACCAGCTCTTTGATCTCAAGCTGACTGATCGTGTCAATATGCGCATGGTCGGTGTCCCGGAGAGCTCGCTCGAGATGTGGGTGAATCAATTTGTTGCCAAGGGCTACAAGGTTGCCAGAGTTGATCAAATGGAGTCTGCGCTCGGAAAAGAGATGCGAGAGAGAGGCGACACTTCAGCCAAGAGCAAGAAAGCCGATAAAATCATCCGTCGCGAGCTAGCCTGCATCTTGACGGGTGGTACTCTCGTCGATGGAAGCATGCTGCAAGATGACCTGGCTACGTACTGCGCCTCTATCAAGGAGTCCACGATTGACGGCAACCCCGCTTTTGGCATCACATTCGTTGACTGCGCAACGGGTCAATTCTCAGTCACGGAATTTGAAGATGATACCGATCTTACCAAGTTCGAGACGTTTGTTGCCCAGACAAGCCCGAGAGAACTCATTCTGGAGAAGTCTCGGATCTCGACCAAGGCTCTCCGCATCCTCAAAAATAACACATCTCCAATGACCATCTGGAACTACAAGAAATCCGGTAGCGAATTCTGGGACGCAGAGACCACTCGTCGCGAACTCGAGAACAGCAACTACTTCGCCAAGGAAGATGGTGGCGAGGGTGTCTGGCCCGATACTCTGATCAAAGCCAAGGACAAGGACTTGCTCATGTCTGCCCTTGGTGCTCTAGTCCAGTACCTGAGGGTTTTGAAATTAGAGGGCGATCTCCTGTCGCAGGGCAGTTTCGATTGGTACACTCCTATCCGCCGCAACGGAACCCTTATCCTCGACGGACAGACTTTGATCAACCTGGAGATTTTCTCCAATACCGTCAACGGTGGGCAGGACGGCACCCTTTTCGCACTCCTGAACCGCTGCGTCACTCCATTCGGTAAGCGGCTGTTCCGCCAATGGGTGTGCCATCCTCTCTGCGACATCAAGCGGATTAATGAACGCCTGGACGCCGTAGATATGCTCAACTCCGACAGGGGCACGCGAGAGAAGTTCACGTCTCAAATGACGAGAATGCCTGATTTAGAACGCCTGATCTCCAGAATTCACGCGGCTTCCTGCAAACCGGAGGATTTTGTGCGCGTGCTGGAAGGCTTTGAACAGATCGAGTATACCATGGAGCTGTTGGGAGAGGTCGGTAGCGGCAATGGCCTGGTTGAACGCCTGCTGGCTTCCATGCCGAATCTCAGCGAGCCTTTGACTTACTGGAAGACTGCATTTGATCGAAAGAAGGCGAAGGAAGACAAACTTCTCATTCCTGAACGTGGCATCGAGGAAGATTTTGACAACAGCCACGATCGGATCGAAGACATCAAGGATCAGCTCCAGACCCTCCTCGCGGGGAAGAAATCGGAGCTGAAGTGCAAGACGCTGAAGTTCACCGACGTGGGCAAGGAGATCTACCAAATCGAGGCTCCCAAGACCGTCAAGGTGCCGAGAGACTGGCGTCAGATGTCGGCGACTGCAAGTGTCAAGAGATACTACTTTGACGAGCTCACCGACTTGGTTCGAGAGCTGCAAGAAGCAGAAGAGACTCATTCGCAGATTGTCAAGGAGGTGGCAGCTAGGTTCTTCCACCGCTTCGACGCCGACTACGAGACCTGGTCGCAGTCGATCAGGATCATTTCACAACTTGACTGCCTTATCAGTCTCGCCAAGGCCTCGTCTTCTTTGGGCGAACCTAGCTGCCGCCCAGAGTTCGTCGACCAGGAACGCAGTGTTGTCGACTTTTCCGAGCTGCGGCATCCGTGCATGTTGAATGCAGTGGCCGACTTTATTCCCAATGATATTGAACTGGGCGGCGATTCGCCAAACATCAACCTATTGACAGGCGCCAATGCTGCGGGCAAGTCAACCGTACTGAGAATGGTAAGTGACAGTGTACCAAACAAAGCCTCAAACTCGGAATCTCAGCTAACTCGAGCAGTCTTGCATTGCCGTTATCATGGCCCAAATCGGATGTTATGTTCCGGCTACATCCGCTCGCCTTACTCCTGTTGACCGAATCATGTCAAGATTGGGTGCTAATGACAACATCTTTGCGTCTCAGTCAACATTCTTTGTGGAGCTGTCAGAGACGAAGAAGATCTTGGCAGAGGCCACCCCGCGCTCTCTGGTGATTCTGGACGAACTCGGACGTGGAACCAGTTCCTACGATGGAGTTGCAGTCGCACAGGCTGTCTTGCACCACATTGCTACACATGTGGGTTGTGTCGGCTTCTTTGCGACGCACTACCACTCCCTGGCGACTGAATTTGAGAATCATACCGAGATTCGCCCGCGCCGCATGCAAATCGACGTCGACGAGGAAGAGAGGCGTGTCACATTCCTTTACAAGCTGGAGGATGGCATTGCCGAGGGTAGCTTCGGAATGCACTGCGCCGCCATGTGCGGTATCTCCAGCCGCGTCATTGAGCGTGCAGAGGTTGCAGCCAAGGAATGGGAGCACACTAGCAGGCTCAAGGAAAGCTTGGAGAAGGCCAAGTCAGGATGCTATATCCCGCTTGGTATTCTGAGCGACGTGTCGTCCTTGCTCAAGGGCGGCGATGAGATGGAGAAGAGAGGTGTCGAGGTGTTGCTGAAGACTATCGAGGCGCTGTAGAGGCCTTTTTTGCGCCGGCCATGAAGGCGTTAATGACTGAAGTGTTTTGCACGGATAGAAGGTATCCCCATTGTATTATGGTACGGGTCGTGCGTTTCAAGGAGTTATACCAGGCTTTGTAAGAGAGAAAGATAGTTGCTGTATCACAAAAGTATTTGCTCATAGATCGTTCCTGGCAGTTGCATTGCTCCGACTGTAGAAGTGAAATGTTGGTGTCGTATTAGGTGATGAGTGTTCATGTCATGACTTGTATTGTCTTCATTTATGTACCATTGGTGCAATAATACGAGATGCTACTGACAACGCTATGATCTAGATGTTTATGATACTGTCATTCCTTTGGGCCGAGTGCTACGAAGCCTCCAATGTCTGTATGGATTAGCTGGCGAACACTGCAAATAAGCAAAGGATAAATCGAAACTCACAATAGCAAAGCGGCTCTTGGCCCGGATCCGTTCACCAAAGAAGACGAGCGCCCACGGAATCAACGTCAAGCCCGTGGCAATTCCACCGAGCAAGGAGCCCGCGCGTTCCTCCCCCAGATTCCGGAACAACGCCCCAGTGACGAGCGGAAACACGCCCCCGAGGATATTTCGACAGCACGACTGCGCGGCCAACGCCGAGGACGCGTACTTGTGGTAAATGTCGGCAAAGTAGTTGAACGTGGCCAGGTACACCGAGTAAATACCCCACGTCGCGAGCCCGATGCCAAAGGCCGGCGCGATCCAGTGGAATTCTTCCCTTGCTGTGAAGCCGAAGATGAAGAGGCCTGCGGGGAGGAAGGTGGCTGTGATGCAGGTGAAGTAGAGGCGGGACTCGGGTGCCTCTGCGGGGAACCGGCGGCGCATGAAGGTCCAGAAGCGGGAGGATTCGTCAGTGGGGATTTCGGCTCGCCACTGGGGTAGCTGGAGGAGTCTGTCTTGGAGGACGCCGACGATGGTCGCGACTACGGAGCCGACGATCATGGCGGAGAAGAAGCAGCCTGACTGCTCAATGTCCCAGTTCCGCCTACGTGACATTGCCAGAGGGATACTTCCGAATGTGCAGTAGAGGACGGCCCAGGCAAAGGCGCACCAGATGGAGAAGAAGAAGACGACGGGTTCCGTGAAGAGGAGGTGGAATGGCCGGGAGACCGACATGGATATCAGCTTGGCGATCGATGCCCTTTCTTCGTCCTCTTTGACCAGCCAACGCAACCGTTGGGCTTTGAGCTGGGTAGAACATCGACGGCTCGATTGACAAGTTGCAGATGTCTTTTCGAGACCGCAGCAGGAGCAAGCCTGCGTATCACCTCCTGAATCCGAGGCCGTGTCGGTGCCGCCGCCAAGATTCGTCGTATCCTCTAGCCACACGCCGTAGAAGCCCGCCTTTTCTCTTTCTTCATACCACGCGTTCAGGGCTTCGGCTTTCCTCGATAGAATGACGGATCCCCGGCTCTCCTTGAACAAGACAGCAAGTGCAATGACAAGGACGGTGTCGACGATGACTTGGTGCCAAAAGATCCACTTCCATGCCAACGTTCCGTCCCGAGATCCCATCCTCTTGACCATGAGGGAAGCCACCAAAGGGCCAGCTCCCGTTCCGGCTAGAACTGCGCCGCTGAAGAGGGCCATGGGGGTGTTTCTCTGCTCCTTCGCCCACAGGTCCGCAATGACGCCGCCAATGACTGAGCTGAAGACCGAGCCGCCGACACCGACTAAGAAACGGGCGATAAGCATGGCTGTAAGGTTCGGCGCAACAGAGCAGACGGCCTGGAAGATGACATAGACAACACCGGAGATGACAAACACTGGGTAACGACCATAAATCTCCGATAAGGGCGCCAGCACCATTGGTGAAAGGGCAAAGCCGATGCAAAAGGTTGTGATGCCGGTCAAGACGAGGAGCTGCGACGTGCCAAGGTCATCGGCCATGATGTAAGACGGTGGAGAATACGAGCCGGCCGTGTATGCGGTGAGAAACGTGGCCACGCACGACAGCGCCAGCATGAGATTTTTCCGTGGTTGAGGCCATTGCAAAGGGGATGTGTAACGTGACAGGTTCGGGGGTGCTGGTTCTGGCGGCGACTCGGCCGAGTCTTGGAAAAGGACGTCTGCCGGCGCCGGCAAGACTGTATCGAAAGCCAAATTTCTGAAAGTGATTGTGCTGTTGGCGTCAACACGGGTGTCGGGTCTTGGTGGCTGAGAAGCCTCGTTGGCACTTGACGAAGTGTTGGTTCCCTTAGACCCTCGAGGCGCCTTTTCGATATCCAGCATCGTGTTCGTCATTGTCGGAAACTACTTTGTTAGACGGCAACAGCAATGATGTCTGGAGCCTCAAATCAAATTTGCAGGCTGAAGATAGAGAGTGTGAGTCGGTACAAGCTCCATGACCGTTTCCAACTTGATGCTCAACGGGGTTGGAGTACGGTCCATATGGAGATGCGTGAAGCAGTGAAGGAGGCGAGTGAGTGAATCACGACGAAGCTGGCGTCGAGGGAACTGCAGGATATAACAATTTGTGTTAGTGAACCTCCACTCACACGAGAAACGGCAATATGAGACTAAGAAAGGCCGTCCCAGGGTCGGAAATGTGAACGGGAATAACGGCGGATGGATCCCACCCAGTCACGTCGGCAGCGGCTATGCCCCCGGTCAGCCGAGGGTCTACTCACACCAAGGTACCTGATGAAAGGTGGAAGCTAAGGTAGGTAGCGGTCAGAGTCGGGACGAGGACGGAAGTCTGGATGCGATGTGATGCGACGCCATGCGGCACTCTGGCTCGGCCAGCGGCTGGCTGAGAAACGGGAAGAAGGCCGCGATGCCCTCGTCGTTGATCGTGGTAGGCTCAAACTGACGCCCGCTATCTATCCCACTTTCCTCACAAGAGCCAGCTGCAGAGAAGAGCTGGGAAGGAGGCAGAACTCAGAGTTCATCGACAAATGCCACTTGGACAAGACTTGAATGCCTCGAAATGAGCGAGCTGCCCGCCTAAGTAGCACATCGCAATCGGAGGCGCAGCCGCAGGCACAAGCGCAAAACGGGCTGCAGATCATCAACGGGATCATGATTCGTGAGGGCTCGAGGGGGCGTGGGGCATGACTGCTGCGTTGTTCGGGGCCTAGCTCGTTTAGCGCCTCCATGCCTGTCGAGAATGCTTCATCGATGTTCAAGCCGAGCTGAAGAAACCCCAGCTTTCAGATACGGCCAAGCCGAACCCACAGCAAGACGTAGACTCCACATTGAGTTGAAGAAACGGAGTCAGTCTCCGTACGGATAGACTGTGAAGTGTGAACAGACGAGATCGTTGACAGATTCAACTAGTCAGTCGCTGGACCACCCTTTGGAGATGGAAACCGCCATCTTGCCTTCTGGTCTCATCTCGGTTTGGCGTTGCCAAGTTGTCCGGTTTTCTGGCACACCCCATCTGATTTTGGTCTTACCCCGTTCAGGCTTCCCTGTCCATCTGGGGTTGAAGCGGCGTGGCATTCGAACTAACGAAGTATATCTATATTCTTTTCCGCTCTATTCCCGGTGAAATACCCCAGACGGTACGTAGTCTCTGGCAGCGTCATTTACGAAGATGGATCGGTTAACGGCCACTTTCTCCATCCCCACGATGATGAAAAAATGCTTCCTGTTTCGGGCAAACTAGGTAGGGCCACACGTCCAGTACTCAGATTTGTTCGCCAGCTGCTTACAGAGTCTGTAATATGCGCGGTAGGTAGAAATGCGATCGTAATATAAAAGCATACAAGGACCTACAATGCTCAGCTCATGCTCAGCTCAACGACCCTGGCTCTACATTACCACGGTATTGGTAACGGCCATACTTTGGTTGTCCCGTGCGGGCCATGCCGGAACGCTACGGCCAACTGTAGTCTGCGAGCGAGAGTTGAAGAGGGGGTGGGCACTGGGCCGCAGCGGCTTGGTGCTCAAAACCATGCAATTGCCGTCACGCCCTAAGTCGTGGTGCCGGGCCCGTCGCCGTCGGACGTCTCTTCCGTCTTCCAATGTGACCATCCACGCCTTCCAAGTACGGAATTCCTACGCGCGATATTCCAAAAACGTGAAAGATGTGAAAGACAAAAAACGCATTTCATTCCGAAAGAAGCCGAAGGACAGCAATGAGCAGGTACCTAGCTCTTCTCCGAAACCACCTCCACCACCATCATTAACGTTTCGAGAAGAGACTTACTTACATACCCCTCCAATCAACCAATCATATGTCTCCAACTTGACGATGCAAGTGAATCCAGAACCTCTATTCCTCAGCGTAGACCCAATGCTTACCACGATAAGCTGCCGAACGTTTCTCAAAACCAATACCCTCCGTCTAACTTCAACCTCGATAAACGTAATGCGGGTGGCCGACACCATGAAGCTCGGCGGGAAGCTCAGCGACAACCCGTGTTGGATGCAGCTCGTACGCGGGGTATACGGCAGGCAAAGTGCGGAAACTGGCGTTGGGTACCTCGGTTAATGCGTGATAGTGCTGGTATAAGTCGGGCTCCGAGTACGCACGTGAGGTAGCTCGAGACATGGCCATGCTGAGGCCGTTTTCGTTAAAATGCTGGCGAGAAGACTCCCCCTGCTCACCCTCCTGAATGCCAGCAGCAGTAGCAGCAGCATCAGCAGCAGCATCTTCCTTGATCGCATGTCTTCGGCGCATGTAAGCGCGCATGATGCAGAGGAATATTAGGAAGAGAAAGGTGCCACCGACAACAGCAGAAATGATGATGATCAATGTGTTCCTGGGAAGTGTAACATGGGGTTCCTGGTCAGATGAACCGGTCGGCTCGGGCAGCGGCGTGTTCTGTTCGGCAGACGAAAGCGTGGAGGTAGTCAGCGAGGAAAGCTCAGTAGTTATCATGGTAGTCATGATAGGCAACAATGAGGAGGTAGTGAAGGTAGCTGCCAAGGCCGACGTCAATGCTGTCTCTTGGAGGGTGATGGTCACTAGAAGGCAAGATTAGAAATATACCCAAAATAGCGGGCTTTGAAAATCGGAAGGAAGGCGCAAATTAGACTTACCAGTAGCTGTCTTACCACCTTCGGTGCGGATGCGAGTGACAATGGGCATTCCATTCTCGGTGTTGCCTTTGGTCTGGGAAGGGCCGGGCACCGGGTCGCGGGACGGCGAGATATCGTCACGGGGTTGAGAAGCGAACTGGCCCATGGTTGCTGTTATAACGTGAGAGCCGCTTGCCTGAGATTGCTGATCCGTCGTATACCTGGTGTGTAGCGAAGGCAAGAGGCAGTGCAGGGGCAACGCAAAAGCAAGGCTGATGGCGCTGTGGATGCAACCTTCGATGCGTCTGTGGTCAGCTTCTGAGGCGGCTCAAAGTGTGGCCAGAAAGTTAAGAATATCTCTCTCTCTCAAAGCAGTTGACCGGTCTCCTGCCGCATGCATGCGTTACTGGAACACAAGACGATAACCTGGCCGCAGGTAAAGGTAAAGATGTGAGGCGGGTGATGGGAATCCAACTCGTCGACAGGCAAAAAGAAGTGAGGCGGCCGGCAAGGTGAACAAAAAGAAGAGATATTCCACTCCTTCCTCGGCAGAAATGTAGCGAAGGCGGTATATTTTTAGTGGAAGGCGTTACCTTAAAGTACCATCCCTTGAGATAGACACCTTGGTGAGTGGAGATGTGGAAGACGGAAGCCGGAAGGAGAAAAGTCCATAGAGTCCAGATGGAAAGAGCAGGCGCGACGGGAACATTGATGGCACCTTCCTGCCCGGATAATTGATTCATCAAAATGTAAAGTGTATACATCATGGACCCCAAATTAGCGGAGGAGGGAATACACAGCTCCCAAGACGAACACCAGCACCATTTAAGGTCCCTCCCTATCCTACCTTACATAGGTGGAATTTGACGAATCCTGGAAGGAGGTAAGATTCACATGCATCAATGGTCTCAATAAATACTCTTCCTTTCTCTCTACCACGTGCTAATGAGAGGTGGTCGTAGCCCTCTGTCTTTAGAAAGGATGGCTGCGGTTGCAAACGTATCGTGAGGAGATGATAATTCACAATGTCCTTCCTAAGCCATTTCCAAACGCCGCCTCTTTTCCGGTTTTATTATGTGGTCGCAACATAATCCTAGTAGTAAACCCTCAGCTCAAGAAAGTTTGACAACAGCCAAACGGTGTGCTTCCGGTCAAGTATTTGGCTTTGACTTCCTTCTACTTCAGGTGCTGGTACACCGGTATAACATAGCATTTCAGCGAACCTCGCAGCCAATCCAGCAGACTTAGACAAGTCCAAGACAGATGTGTTGAAGTATTCCAGAGCACATTCCCTTTGCTGAGCCCTGGCCAGTTTATCGAACAGCAACTGATTCATGAATGTGTTCAGAGCGCGTATCTACTGATGGCGAGACACGAATTCTTTACACGTGATGATACCCGCCCATGATGGAACACGATATCTGCTGGTCCCTACAGACTGTAGCATATTTGGTGAGGAGCTCTTCGGCCTCAACTTCTCCGTCGTCTTTACACTTCTTGAAATGTCCTATCGGACATCCTCATCCCATCAAGGTTAGCTCATCACCGCATTGGCGCTCGAGTTGTCTTCCTGACAGTGACCAGCTGCCCAGTTTTAGGTGAACTTGACGTCGTGACCATGGGGCAGCCTTGAGATACAGCACCAGAATGGAGTCTATGATGGATACGTCTCATTCTTCAGATGGCAGCACCTCCCTCCCATCGCTGTAGGCATTGCCGCTACCTTGTTCTGTGCACTGTCACGCATGATCTTTTTTGCGATTCTTGGCCAAGTGTGCTGCTAGATTATCACAGAATTTGGCTGCGGTATCTCCAGCATTTCTTGGCCCATGGTTCCAATATAATAGTAGTATGTCATCATCTGTATTCCCGGCGTGGGTGCTTTTTGTTGGAAACTTCAACTTACTATCGAGCTGAGTTATTTTTAGTGAACTCCAGGCGCTCAGCTGACGGGAAATTGTGTCCATTGTCTGCTTGTTTGTAAAATTGGAAGCACGTCCGTCTTCGACAATACACAGCAGACCTACATAGCAGACGAGGTTCAAGGAGTACGCGGCACACATTTTTTACATCCTACCGTTTCTTCTCTGCCTTTTGACTGCAGACCTATGTTAGATCAGAACAGCCAGACATGGAATCAGCAGTGGACATAAACCACAGCACGCATGAGCGCAGGCGAGACTGAGGGAACCCCCCCGATTCTGATATTGGGTTTATGGCATGGGTATTGTGATGGCGGCACATAATCGGGATATGATGAGCGTAGCCCATCACATATTAGTATTGGAAGACGGCCGAGTGTTGGATGAACAGCGCTGCAAGATAGGGGTACTCTTAAACGTCGCTGAACAAGGCCAGCCAAGGGGAATTCCGGACGCATCCTAGCTTTTCACAATCTTTTCATGGAAGGATCTCAAAAGAGTACCTCGATTTCAGTTGCATGGCATGTTACTCAGTTTCAAGTATGGACCTTGCTCAAGTTACCAACATGATTGACTCCCATGATATCGCCTTCTCATGAGCCATGGCCGAGGATGGCGAAGTGAGAGCGATTTCCAGACCTTGAATGCCATACGCATCATACAACCACCGGGTCGAGACCGTGGCATTCCCAAATCCATGGATTCTACGTCCGAGATCATGAGACCATTCGCAGCTCGATATTCATGCCCATAGCCTGTCAACTCGGGCGAAGCGCTTTCTGGCCGAGGTGACGAAGCACGGATGATATCGCAAGTCGATTTTTAACTTGGCGTCGTTTCGTAAGACGGCGTCAATTGTCGGCTAAATCTCCCCTTTAGCTAGACTTGTCGGCTTGGGCCTTCTCGTAGATCCAGTCGTTCAGACCGTTGCGGTTTCTCGCAATCTCAATGGCGTAGAACTGCATACGGGGCGCTGTGAAACAGATCAGCGGACATGCGGGCCGAGTTCACCAAAGACAATTACGATGGGATTCAGGATAAGGTTGGCGGAAGGTCACTGACCGAAAATGACCTCGTTCTGGCCATACTCGAACTTGGGGCTGGCGCGGAGCATGGTGCCAAAGTTGTAGTCGTCGACCTTGTTCTCGTAGGCCATCATGAACTTGCGCCACCGTTCCTTGCCGGTCTTGCTCTTCATTTCGTCCTCGTTGATGGTCGCGGCAGGGTCGAACTCGGGGAAGTCGGTCTTCAGGTGCTCGTAGATCTCGTCATCAATCTTCGTCAGGCGCAGCGTGGAGCCCTTGACCTTCTCAAGGATCTTCCAGTAGGTTTCCATGTGCTGGACGACTGCGAGCAGGCGCTTGCGGTTAGCTCTCGGTCGCAAATAGATTCGAAGGTGATAGTGGTAGTATGCATACCCTTGACGGCGAATTGCTTCTCGATCTAACCGCAAGGGAGAAGTCAGCGCAATGCGTTCGCGACACGAAGAAAGGAGGGGTTCGAGCTCACATCCTCGAGGTTGTCAGCCTCTTGGGCGTTGAAGTTGGAGGGAACTGGCGCCGACATTATAACAGAGTTTCTGGGTTGACTGTGCTCGATTGTACCGAGAGAAGAGGTGGTGATTGTGTGAGCGTGGAGGGGTTGGACGAGGAAGCTTTCAAGATGTTGGTGGGGCAAGCAGTGACGAACAGAGCACTGCTGGGCAGTCAGGCATCGCGGGGTTCTTTTTCCTTCTTTTTTTTTTCTTTCTCCACCTTTTCCCTAAGCTGGAGTACGTACCTACTTGTACAACCGTACCTTACACTGACGTCAAAACACGAAGGTAATAATAACTCCATCGAACTCCAAGTCTCATCAAACCTCCCCCAGCCGAATATGTGTCGATATACTTCAGCGACGACGTTAGAATGAACGTCGTTGGCAGCCACTTCCCATCAATGTTTAGTCTGTGGTTCATTATTCTGAACCGCGGCAGTGCCGCCAATTCACCACAGCCGTAGACATCTTCTCAGATAGTCGCTCTGGATGTCGTTCCATCCCCCAGCCAGCTACCTTCTAATTCTCGAGACGACCAAGCCGACATTGCCCAGTCAGATGTCACGAACGCCTGTGGACTAGCATCGACCTCCCTCTTTGACATGCTTCGTCGCAGTTTGTGGACCAGGACTTGCATTCTGTGTTCAAGGCTCGCCGCGTCTGTGGCTACCGATTCTTGAGACGTCCTTCCGATCAGCTGCGTTCTGTTGTCCGGACGTTCACTTGTGTCGCCGTCTTCTGAAATCTCTTCAATAGGTCTAGACGCATAGCCGACCGACATACGTCCATTCAATGCGCTTTCGTACGGTCGTGTCAGCATGACTGCTCCCTCTGGAAGACAAAGACCGCGCAGGTACTGTCGAGAATGATCATCCAGTTGGAATTTGCCATGTCCTTTATCGACCCACGATTTCTGACCGGGAATTCGCGGCCATACTGAAGAAGGCGCCACGCGATAGGTATGGTGCTTGACCTCATCGCTTCTCTCGGGGATGGGAAAGATACGGCGCAGGAGAGAATGCGTATAGCCGTTGCTGAAACCACAGAGGCGCATCGAGTCGACCATGCCCTCTAGGCGTATGAAGGGCTCGCAGATTCTTAGGAACTCGTCTGGGCAGTAAGAAAAGTCAGCACCGTAGTTCGATCGCTTGGGTGCAAACACCTGCTCCGGTTCCGTCGACGTTCCTTGGTCGTTCTGGTCGGCAGCAGGCCTGGAACCTGGAGGCAGATGGTCGGAAGGGCGTTCACCCCAAAATCTCCGGCAGAGTAGCACAAGGCTCTTGAGCGTCGAGTAGGTTTTACGCCTCAACTGGCCTTTGACAAAAGCTCCTATGAGATCGTCCATGTTGACGGTTCCCGCGCGTAGTTTGCAGGCCTCCTTGCCTGGTCCGAAACCTAGCCGCGTCAGGTCGAGCTCGACGATAACTTGCTGCATGAAGTGGCCGTATTTGTCGCACCACAGCGTTGCCAAGGGGTTCAAGTATGGCCCAACGAAGGGCGAAAGTGTGATATGGAATCGCTCTTCCATAAGAAATGCCACCATCATGTCCGCGCGCAGAGCAAATGATACATTGAGATACGGCTGCAGAGGCCCCATGGCAGCCGCGAGCGAAGTGTACTCATCGTCACTCCAAACCTCTCTCATGAAACGACCGTCGTTGAGGCAGATGGGTCTGTCGGGGTTGTAATCGGCAATGAGACACTGACATATCTTGAAGCGCGCAACTGCGGGTAATCTGAGGTACGGGGAAATCGGCTCCTGCTGTTGCTCTCGCTTGTGGTCGGCGAAGAAAATTGTGACCGAATTCTCAAAATCAATGGCTTTGTCGGGCAACGCCTGGCCACGTCGATATTGATGATAAACGATATCGATCGACCGATCCCAAGGCGGTAGGTTCTGGCGTGTTGATCCAGCTGGCCATCCCGACTTGGGCTTTTCCATCAACGTTCGGGCTGCCTTCTGAGGAATGGCCGCGGGAAAGGGATAGGGCAAAGGGGTCGAGATATTTCTCGTCAATGCCGACTTCGGCTTCGTCACTGCGGCAGAGTCAGCATCGAAATTACTCGACGGCGATCAACTCGAGAAATGAAGGTGGTTGAGGTGCGAACCCACTCTTGCTGATGGTGCAGTTACGATACTGCCAGGTTGACGGTCCCGAGTATCTTGTTGTGGTTTTCTTTTCCTGCTAGGCCTCTTCTACTTTCTTCAAGTGAAGTAAGTCGCCAGATTCAGGAATAAGGTACGCGAAATATTTGGTGTTGTGTTGTTGAAGTGCACAACAGTCACAGTGGGTGGTGAAGAATGATTTCTCTTTCCTCCAGGTAAGGGTCAGATTCATTGAGAGGCCAATTGCGTATTCTCCTCTACGTGTACCCACTTCCATCTTCCTCCCAAAGCTTCACTTTCACTTGATTTTCATCTCATCTCTTCACTGGCGCTCCTGCCTCTAATTTGAGGAGTAAGTGATTTGGCGCCTTGTTCTTTTCGAAGCTGAACAAGCTTACTGAAAACAGATTCAGCCAGAGTTCATCGTCACCAGTCATTTCTATGCACATTGAATTAGTTTCCAAGCTTCATATCAAGAAAACTTCGTTTACATAGCTCTGCAGCTGTTCGTGTCCGGTTTCACACCGATGGCCGACCCGCTTCTTCGGCGCCGAGTGGATCGTGACTCCGTGCATCCTTCGGGAGCTTAATCGGCCATGCTCCGGTGATGCACCTGAGGTGGTCATGGTAGTACCATGGCGAAGGGGAATCGCTGCCAGTATACTGTATTCATTGTTTATGCAGGCTCTCTACTTGCATACACTATTAAAAGCAGTCAATATCGTCGAGTTTGCTGTGCCGTCATTACCAGAGGACAGTCATTCGTCGGTTGGTGCAGGGGTGTTCATTCAGAACTGACTGTATGCCACGGCTCGGTCAAAGGACAGCGAGGTAAGTCGGAGATACCGGCAAAATTTCCCCCTCTCCTTACGTCTTGCGAATAGAAAAGAGGATGGTCAAGCGCAGGCAATCGAAAGGGAGGGCTGCAGAGATCTCGCCAAGCGTATTGGCACCGCGCATCTAAGCTTAAGGGGACGAACGCCGCCGTGACGGCTCGGTTGGTCCAACGGGAACTGGGCTTGCTCCAACGGGAGCTGCAGCACCCATGTCACGGACAGCAAGTTCTTAGTTGCTACCCCATTCCCCATTTCCCCCTCCAAACGAGCCGTCAAACCAATACCTTCAAATCTAACCCTAGTCTCTTTGAACGGGGTTCGGGTCGGAGTTGACAACTTCTAGCCTTCTCCTCCCCCATTCCCTCGTTGATTTCCCCCCAGAGAGCCCCCAAGAGAGGGAGGGGAAACACGCGCCAATTGAGGTATTCGGCTGCGTTCACCCATGTTGAGGGTGGTGTGGAGTGTGGTCTGACCTCGTCGAGTCAAATCCCCGTTACGATGGCCGATGGACAGCGACAGACCACCTGGTTTGTTTGTTTAAGAAGCGCAGGGGTCCATGACTTTTGTGCTTGAGGAATCGTTTGCCTCTTGCTTCTTCTTCTGTTGAGTGAGTCTTTGGCGGATACCCGATCTCTTGACTGATGTAACATTATACCATTTTTCATTTCTTACGCTTGAGATCACGACATCATTTTGACTCCAATTGCATGTAATACCCAAGCGATCAATTAGAACAACTCACTAGAAGCTCATATTGCTAGCAGACCAGCTTATCTGAGTAGATCTACAAGTGCCGTTTGTCGCGAAGGACTGCGGATCTAGGCCTTCCTGGATATAAAATCAGCTTAGGCAAGTCTGATCCTTTTCATACACGGAGACTCACAAGCATCCTACATGATTCGAGGAGGATGTAAACACAACCACCATATCTCCAAATGCCAAGCCGCCGGAAAGCGTTCCTGAGTGCCAAGCTTTAACTCTCACACTTCTCGCAGCTCCTGGCAGACACACGGCTCCACATGGCTGCAGTGTAAGTGGTCATCGAAACTAACACCAAGGCAGGATACTATCAAGCTCCAATGGCAACAAACACAGAAGAGCCGCGCCACTCCGCGGAAGAAGGAGCAACAGCGAGCAGCATATCCCACGAAGATAAGGAGGCAAAGGGTCTCTATCGACTAGAACGCGAACCCACAAGAGAAGAGAAGACGGCAGAGGCCCTAGCAGAGGGCCACGATGCCGACATACCCTCCAGCATGGGCTACGTCCTCGACGAACGCGGCGAAGAGAAGAGGAAGCACTCAATCGCGCTGGCCCGGACGAGATCTCGCAAATCTATGGCGCGCGAGGATGTGGAAAGGGGCGTTGGTGGTGGATCGGCAGAAAAGGACGGCGATGGCGACGGCGGCGAGAGCTCCGAAGACGAGAACATTGTCTGGTGGGATGGTCCGGACGACCCGGCGAATCCGTACAACTGGCCGAGCTGGCTCAAGGTCCTCAACTGTAGCCTGATCAGTGCCATGACCTTTGTCACACCACTGGCGTCCTCCATCTTTGCCCCCGGCGTGCCGGACCTCATGCGGGAGTTTCACAACAACAGCCCCTATCTGGCTGCCTTTGTCGTCTCCGGTAAGTACACACCTCTCAACCTCTTCTCACTCCATATATCATCCATACTCAAGGGCAAAAAAAAAAAACAATACTGACAACAAAAACGCAGTCTACGTCCTAGGCTTCGCAGCAGGGCCCCTCCTATGCGCGCCCCTCAGCGAAATCTACGGCCGCACGATAGTCTACCACGTCTGCAACCTCTTCTTCATCTGCTTCAACGTCGGCGCCGCCCTCGCCCCCACCCTCAACGCCCTCATCGTCTTCCGCCTCTTCGCCGGCGTCTTCGGCTCCGCACCCATCACCAACGGTGCAGGTTCCATCTCCGACATGATCCGCCAAGAGAAGCGCGGCGCGGCCATGGCGGCGTTTAGTATCGGTCCCCTGCTGGGTCCCATCATTGGCCCCGTCGCGGGCGGGTTCCTTGCTGATGCTGCGGGCTGGCGATGGGTCTTTTGGCTCATTGTTATTGTCAGCGGGGTGCTGAGTATTGTCATGCTCGTCTTTTCGAGAGAGACGTACGCGCCTATTATTCTTGATAGGAAGGTGAAGCGGCTCCAGAAGGAGACTGGGAACCCTCTGCTGCGGTCGAAGCTCGATATTGGACTCTCTTCGATTGATTACTTCAAGCGGGGCATCATCCGTCCTATCAAGATGATTGCCTTTTCCCCAATCACTCAGATCTTGTACGTAATCCTACTCTCACATTGAACCTCATCACGATGACCATTACTAACAACCCCAACAGTGGCCTCTACATCGCCGTGGTCTACGGCTACCTCTACCTAATGTTCACCTCCATCACCTCAGTCTTCATGGGAACCTACGGCTTCAGCGCCGGCACGTCAGGCCTAGCCTTCATGGGCCTCGGCGTCGGCTCCATGATCGGCGTTGTCTTCTTCAGCCTCTCCTCCGACAAATACGTCAAACGCAAAGCCGCAGAAGCAGATGCCGCAGCCGACGAAGCCGGCACCGTCCGGGAGGGGATGAAGCCGGAATACCGCCTCGTCGCCCTCCCCGCCGGCGCCGTCTTTCTCCCCGCAGGCCTCTTCATCTACGGCTGGACGGCCGAGTACCACATCCACTGGTTCGTGCCCATCTTGGGCACGGCCATCGTCGGTATCGGCAACCTCATCATCTTTATGGCGTTGCAAATGTACCTCGTCGACGCCTTCACCGTCTACGCCGCCTCGGCACTCGCCGCAAACGCTGTCGTGCGATCCGTGGCGGGAGCGACGTTACCTCTTGCGGGTCTGAAGATGAATCAGAATTTGGGCGTTGGCTGGGCGAGTAGTATTCTGGGTTTCATCGCTGCCGCCATGTTGCCGGTGCCGTTGCTGATTATGAAGTACGGCGAGCACTTGCGCAAGCGTTTCGAGCTCAAAGATCTGTAAGTAGACATGGCTGGATGGATCAAGTCTGGAAGGACTGTCGTGTGGGACATGCAGTATTCGTAGACAGAGAAGATGTACATCATAGTACCCAAGTCAATATGGCATTTTCTTGATGCATGCCGATGGAGGGGTATGGATGAATCATCAAAAGACTCCAACGAACCTCCGTTCTCTCTGGGCTCTATCTCGCTGGTCGCTTTTGAGAGACCTTCCTTAGTGATCAATGATACATCGTAGTACGTTGCTTCCATATCAAGCTGATCCCGCTGGAGACTTTCCTCGCGTCTGTTCAATGACGCGAGCAGAGCTGTTCTCACCTGGCCCTGGCTGGATAAGGATGGGGCAGTTTTGTTAGTGTCCTGAAGAGGTAGCATATGACTTCATCGCCTCGAGCCCTCCGTGAAAGAGACTTCGTCTCATTAGGTCCGTCATTCTGAGCTCCCTACGAGAGCTGAGGTGTCGTCTGATTGATTGTTATTCTGCTTCGGATGAACTTCAACACGGGTAATCGCATTTCGACGATCCTTTTTTATTTATTTTTTGGAAGGTGATATCAACTTTATTCATGTGTGCAAATCATACTCGTGTGTGCTGGACAGTCTAGTCCACCATCGTCTATCACGGTTTACTAGGTACTTTGGTATCTCCCGCGCGCCGACGGGCATCTCTTTCTCTTTTCATTCCTCATCCACAATCCAATCCATTACAACGTTCCAATGCCAAGGTGCTCGGGGTCGGCCTTGACGATACGCAGGGTGTTTGTGTTACCCATGCCGCCCTTCCAGCCCTGAACAACGACGAGAGTGTCGCCCTTGCTAACGACGTTGAGCTCCAAAGCGTGCTCAACACCCCACTTGATGCGGCGGTCGACATCCTCTTGCCAGTTGACCTTGCTGAAGTCGGGCTTGGCCTCGGGGAACAGGAAGGGGTAGACACCACGGTACAAGTGAGCGTAGCGGGATGCGGAGGCGTTTCTTGTGACCATGAAGATGGGGCAGACGGGGCGGTACTTGGACAGAAGGCGGGCAGACTCTCCGGATGTGGAGAGAACGATGATGCCACCAGCGTTCAGGTCGAGGGAAGCTCTGACAGCGGCCATGGCGCAAGACTCGACAACACTGACGGGGCGCTTGACCAGGGTGCACATCTCCTCGAAGTGGGAAACGTAGGGGATGGTGTTCTCGGCCTTGAGGCAAGCCTCGTGCATCTCAGAAACGGCCTCATTGGGGTAGCTACCCTTGGCGGTCTCACCGGACAACATGACACAGTCGGCACCGTCGGTAATAGCGTTACCAACGTCACTGATCTCGGCACGGGTAGGGCGGGGGTTCTTGATCATGGACTCGAGCATCTGGGTGGCGCAGATGACGGGCTTGCCGGCTCTGTTGCAGAGGGCGATCATCTTCTTCTGGGCAGCGAAAACCTCGGCGGCGGGAATCTCGATACCGAGATCACCACGGGCAACCATGACACCGTCGGTCTCGGCGAGGATCTCCTCGAAGTTGTTAAGACCTTGACGGTTCTCGATCTTGGCAATAATCTGGATGTGCTTGCCCTCGGGACCGAGAACATCGCGGATGTCCTGGATGTCCTGGCCGCGGCGGATGAAGGAGGCAAAGACCATATCGACGTTGTTCTTGACGCCGAATCTGAGATCGTTCTTGTCCTTCTCGGAAAGGGCGGGAAGATCGACATCGGTGTTGGGCAAGTTGACACCCTTCTTGGAGGAAATGAAGCCGTTGTTACGGGCGCGGACCTCGACAGTCTTGTCATCCTTGACGCTGAGGACGTCGAAGGCGAGGACACCGTCGTCGACGTAGATGATGCGGCCGGGCTCAATAACCTTGGTGATGTTCTTGTAATCGACGTACCTATCAGAATGACGGTTAGTATTGTCGAGCAAGGACTATGTGGGGAGTGAAGAGCTTACATGTTGTCGGTGTCGCAAGCAGTGGCGTACTGCTCATCGGTGGTGAAGTTCAGGACCTTGCCGGCGGCGATGGGGAGATCCTCATCGTTCTTTGTGTTTCCGGTACGGATCTCGGGGCCCTTGGTGTCGAGGGCAATGGCAATCTGACGGCCAGGCTGGGCCTTCTCGGCGGCGCGGGCATTGTCAATGACAGACTGGTGATACTCGTAGCTGCCGTGCTGTTCAGAATGGAGGGGTTAGCAAGGTGCGTGGACTTGGTGGGGGTTATCTTTTAGCGTCGACGCCGGGGAGCTTACGGAGAAGTTCATGCGAACAACGTTCAGACCGGCCTTGCGCAGAGCGTTGATGGCCTCGACGGAGTTGGTCTTGGGGCCAATGGTGCAGATGATGGAAGAACGACGGTAGTTCTTCTCGGGCTGGTAGGCGGTGTCGAGGCTGGAGAGCCATGCGATCTTGCCACCGACATCGAGATGGTCCTTGGCGGTAGCAGCCATTGTGTCTAGATGTGTGTATGTGTGTTTGGACGGGTGATGAGGAGAGTTGAGAGGAAAAGATCGATCACCGTAGGATAGAGGAAGTATATAGCAGAGGAGAAGTGTGCTACTTATTAAGGATGGTCGAGGCGAAAGGGAGGAGTGGAAGAGGAGGAGGGGTCTAATGCGGTTGTTAAATCCTGCTGGGAGTGGGGGTGGGCAGAGAGAAGACACAGAGAGGTCAAGGCAAGGTCAGGCAAGGTACGTAAGGCCAAGGGGAGAGATAACTAATGAAAAAAACTAGGTATGATAAAAAAAGGTCATACAAATCGACGAGGTTGACGAGTGAGACTCTTGTTTCTTAGAGGGTGGACAAGCCAATGCAGGATTTATGCACAAGATGATGTATTTGAGCATCAGCCTCAGCCAGGTATTTGTTGAAGACCAACCTAAGGTCCTTCAACCTAGGGTGCTTTAAGAGAGACAAGAGAGGCAGACACGAGGGGCAGGGACGAGAAACAATTTGCTCCTGACCCAAACAAGTGAAGCTGCCCGGCGGCGCGCTCCTCTTACTTGCTGTCGGCGGTGGTGTCGGCGCCTCTTTTTTTTTTCTCCCTCTTTTTTTTTCTCCCTCTTTTTTTTTCTCAGTCTGTCCGGGTGGCCGCCGCTTTGCCCCTCGTTGAACTTCGTTCCCTGCACCGGCCGGCACCACCCCGTTTGGTGAGGTGAGGGGGAGGAAGGTGCTGAGGAGCCTTGAGCTGCCCCTCAATCCAACGGAGTGGTCTGTGCTCCTCAGTCCGTGGCCGGATGGCAGGAGGGGAGCCCCCCAAGTACCTTCCCTCCAATCCCTGCCAGAATTGGAAATGGAAGCAATGGGCAAGTGCACCTAACTGCAGCTTTGGCAGTAGCAACTTTTTGGGGTGACCCCCCCCCCCCCCCCCCTCCCCCACCAATGTGAGGAGCTTGCGGTGACAGGTACCCTGCCTGCCAGCACCTGCCTTACCTCAGCTCAGGTCTCAGGGTCCCGCGCTTCGCACCTGCCTGACACCTCCCACTTTCATCCACCTTTTTGCCATCTCATGTTGACCAAGAAAAAAAAAAAAAAAAAAAAAACAAGAGACGACGGGAAGAGACACGGAGGAGCTTTACCAGGCAGCAGACCACCCAATTGAAGCATAACGTATTCCTGCTTCATCTTCTGCTCACCTCATCTTTTCCACCTGTTCACCTTGCTCATCCACCAGCTGGAAACGCTTGGCCAATGAAGCAACATGCCCACGGGCCGAACAAGGTTTACGCAAATAGCACATACCAAAACGGCCCGGGATATGGTGAGGCGCCCCAAAGTTGGGTGAGAGGTGAGGTGAGGTGAGGGCGGCACGTCAGGCCAGCCCAGAAAAACAGCGTGGTTTCAGTAGACGGTAAACAAGAAAATAAATAGATGCCAACCGGAAACCGCAACAGAAACATTCAAGGGGTACGAAGTATCAACGCAACGCAATGCAATGATACGACGGCACGACCCCAAGACCACCGATGGAGTGTGATCCACTCACCGAGTATCCGTACGTCGTGCTATTTATTGCCCAACGCTCAAGCCTATCGAGCTGGGCAACAGACACAAGTAACAGCAACTACGATGACAACATGAACATGAAGAGAACGTGAAAGGGCAATAAGAGGATCGAATGATGGAAGGAGGTGATGCCCGGATGAAATGGGTGACGATGAGGGATTTCAGTCGCTTCCCCTGGATCCAACAGCATCCAACTGTCTAGCTCCAACTTCGGCCATTCTCTCGTTTTATTTCGCTTCACCATCCTATCCTCTAACCTCTCACTACCTCAAGGCTCACCTCGCCGTCATGCAACTTGCATCTGTCTGACAGGCTGTTGCACACTGGCGCAGCTTCCATTCTGCGACGGAGCTCCGACCAAGCTCCCTTGGGCTGAGTCTGAGCCTGAGTCTGGGTTGAGCTGCCCGATTTTAAAGCCTCAAACACTCAACAAACTAGAAGCCCATGCCGGGACGGGCGGCGGCGGCGGCGGCGGGCCACACACTTCCTTTGGCTCTTTTCGTTTTGTCTCCGGGTCTGAGCTTCTAGGTTCCTTTGCCAAACGGCAAACCAGCCCGGTCGCCCGACCCCTCCAGAAAATGGAAAATGGAACGCACCCATGGCGCCTTGAAAAACGGCAAATAGCCCCCCGTGGAAACAGGCCCCTCCATCCGCTGGAGAAAGGGCAAGGACTGCAAAATGCATCACCTTAATCCTTGGAGACTGAAATGGATGAGAAAGGCCGCTGGGTCTCTCTAGGCCAGAGAGAGTATCGAAGTGGAGAGGTCCCTTGGCCCACTTGCACCTTGGCAATGCCTCGCACCTCTCATAAAAATGGCAAATGGCGACAATGCATTTAGCCATGACTCTGTCAGCTCCGGCCAGCTCCAACCTCTCAACACCTGCGTGCGGGCCAATGGCCATCTCAACCATCGCAAGGGTAGGTGGACCGCCGCCGGTGCACCATCGGACAATTCCACTTGTGCCGCGGAGGAGAGCAAGTCCAGGCCCCCATCCGAGCTCCGGCTAATCCGCATTGTTGGTGACGCGATTCAAACCGTCTCGATGGTTCGGGTCCGAGTCGCGCTTCTTGCTTCTATTTCCCTCATCATGTCGCAGGGTTTGTGCCAGGAGAGTGACACCCGCAAACTGATGTTGCCATGGAGAGCCCCACAGGAGACATAAGGAGGAAGATGGTCAAAACCCCCGGGTAGGACACCTTGATGCTTGAGGTCCAGGACTCCAGTGTCTCAAAGACAGGTGGTATAATGGTCAGCAAGCCATAGCATCGTCGCTTCTCCACTCGAAGCCACACGAAGATGAGCTTAATCGACCTCGCACCACCTCCATGACTTAGGTAGGTTTCGATCCCACTGAAGATACGACACTCGACGATGCCGCTCGTGGAAAATTCCACAGATAAGATAAGATATGCACCCGCCTACATATCTCATCTTATCGGCATGCTTGATACCTGGCGCCTGAGGCATCTAAGGCTGCTGGTGTGCACAGTCCACTTGGACAGTCCTTCGCCAGTCAGCCGGGGGAGGGATCATACTCCAGTTGCTCCAGTGTGCCTGCCACCTCCCGTGCAGGCGAGCCTTGTCTCATGACCTACAACCTTCCTTTCGAACTCTGACTTTTTGAGAGAACGCCCCATTTCAATACCGCCACAACTTCGAGACGAGGACGCTGCGGATCGAAAACCTCGAGATAACAAGATCATTGCGGGAAAAGCGACAAACGAAACCGACTCTGACATACCTTTTCGAACAACTTGCACCCAAAAATGGTTGGTCCAGCCTTCCCCCCCCCCCAATCAGGCCGCTGGCGAGCCGCCCTCGTGCTTCTGGCTCGCCTCGCTGCCTACTTTAGCTTGGAGATTTGCTCGCGCAGTCTTAACGCCTCCTAGCTCCTAAACTTGCTGACTCTGGGCCTCTGGTCGAAGATTGGACGTTTGACTCACTACGCATTCGATGCGGTGCTCTGTAAGTCTGCAGTCGTCCTTCTGTCGGAATGTCATTGTTTCGTATCGTATCGGTCGGTTCGCTAATCTTCGGTTTTTCAGTCTCCGCCTTCCTCGCTGGCATGCAGCGCTCGACCGGCCTGACGTGAGTGAACAACCCGATATTCCGATGCGAATACTAGAGCTCCCTCCTCGACGACGACAAAGACAGAGACGCAAGCAGCGGCTAACATGTGCCCAACTGGGAATCGTCAGACCCAGTTTCAAGACAGACAGAGCTGCCGGCGAAAACAAGGACATGACGAAGTGGATCGAGAAGTATCTCGGTGTCGGCGAGTGGGTGATGGATCAGTCCGTCGCTATCGCCGGCTCCAGCGGTTGGTTCGAACGCAGGCGATAAATCGAAAACATCGAGACAAACACCAGTATCCGTAGACCCGTTTGCCAACGAACCCGCCGCCCTTTGGAGTCGAATTTCTCCATCCTCATTCCTCTACAACCTTACACCAGGTCATTTTGTTTTTGCCGCAATACAAGGCTGGAAACGCTTTGCGACTACTCGGAAGAAATCGGTACGGGGGCCTCCCTTCTCGGCGGTGTAAATCCAAGGGGGTATCGACAGATCATGAACCGGGTGTTCTCGTGGGCTGAATTCGCTGGTTGTCGGAATCTCGAAAAAGCAGATTCGTGTCTCTGCATGCGGGCGTTATGGGCGAATCAGGGCGCATTTTTCTCTAGCTGTACTTCCTTGGGGAACAGGAAACTGAGCCCTCACCGGCGATCTCTTGGTTTTATTATTGCGAAAGGGTCCCCTATGGGCACCGGGCTACCCCGTGTAAATCCTTACCACCGGACCTGTGGACCCCACTTTCGGGATCGTCCTCGTCGCGGGACAGCGGCCATAGCCGAGGTTACCGACCCAAATTCCAATGCGCCACAGTCTGCCACTGCCGCTCCTTTCGTGCGCCATAGCTCCCTTGCCTGATGAATTGTTGCCCTGTGGTGTGAGACTGTGAATGCAGGTGGCAATATAGAGATAGATAAAACTCAATTCACAGATGGCTATAAACAAACTGCTCCATAGGAGTCTCAACTTACACCCCAACCAACGCCGGCTTGAATCATGGTCTGCGGGGTATCCTGTCCTGCCTGCCTGACTGTACTTCGTACCCAGTCCAACTCTCCACCATTGTTCAAATACCAAAAACTACAGTACCCATGCATGACAAGATGCATGTTCAACAGCACCTGGTGCTCTTAACAAATAGCGTACCTGACTTGAACTCGCTACGAACGCTACGAACGTTATGGGCTCAGGGACCTTCGTATTAGTCGATGCCCTCATCATTACTGTGCTCGGCAAGGAACTCCGGAGGAACCTCATTATCGCTGTCACGCCTCGAAGACGAAGTTCGTGTGGACCCGACATGGGAATGGTCGTCGTCATGCTCTTCAAGATGTGACACCAGCAAGTCGGGCGGAACCTCGTTGTCACTTTCTCCATGATGAACCTCTGCCGTAGCCGTGGCCGCACTGACCTGTTGCTCCTCGTGGCCATCGCCGTTGTGCCAGGGTTCCTCGATATCGTCAACTTTTGCCACCGCTGTCTGGGGCTTTGGTAGACTTCCACGAAGGAGTGTCTCGGCATCTCTAAATGCTTCTAGTTCAGCGCCAACGGCGCAGATGAGGAGATTCCAGGTGTTGTGTTCGGCCGTCCTCATGTTTGCTTCAAGCTCCAAGATGACTTTGGCCATCCGTGGCAAGAGAGCCTCGACGCCTTCTTGTTGCGCACGTGGGGTCTGTTTGCCCTTGGCTGAGGAAGCACCGCCGCTTAGAGACTGACGCAGGTCTGCTTCAAAAGTCGTGACGAGTTTGACCGTTTCCTGCCACAGCTCTGTGCCTTGGTCTAGCGCATCGCGATCCTTATCTACCTGCGCCTTTCGCTTCTGTAGAAAGTCCATTTCACTTTCCCACCAGTCCTTGGCCATGCTCAGCGTGCGTCGCGCGGGTATCATGCGGAAGAACTCAGCCCCGCCAGGCAACTCTTGGATATCGTTTCCGGTCCCAGAGTCGTTCCGTGATACAGCTTCGACAACGTCAAGATCCAGGGGTTCGATGGGGGGCCGGCGTAGCAGGGCTGTGACCTCTCCTTCAACTTCCTTCAAAGCCCCTCTGTAGCCACTCAAGCCAGCCTCTCGGCGGTTGTGAACGTCCTCCATCTTTCGCTCGAGCCATCGGTGGCGGTTTCTCATCCCAACCAGCTTCTCCTCGAGCTCGCGGATCTCCTGCCCTAACGTATCATGCTGCTCTCCCAGGTTTCGCAGCTCCTTTGCCAGAGGCTCCTCATCATCATCAGCTAAGCTATGCAATTCCGCAGAGATGCTGACCCTGCGCTTGTCTAATTTGCCTAGATAGGCTAGAGCTTTCCTTCGCTGCGAGAGGGCCGACTCAATGTATGCATTTTCTTCCGTCTTGAGACCGGTAAGGGCTGCCAACGCATGTCGCAGCCCGCTCCGCGCCGAACGAAGGCCCTGCTGCCCCTGGACATTGGGCTGTCGAACAGGTATTATGTCGCCGCGAGGAGTCGCGCGTACGGGATGGTCTAAAGACGCCATCATGCGTGACTTGGACGTCGCTGTGGAATAGAATGTTCCCGTTGGCGTGCTACTCCCGGAATCGCTCCACGTCTCGGCCCCTACAGTGCTAGCATCAAGAGATTCGGCGCCGGATCCGAGCCTTGTGGCTTGTATATCGAGTAATCGCTGCACCTCTCTGTGTAGAGCTCGTTCACGATGTTGCAGATTCCGCCAAACAGAGTCGACGCGGGACTTGCTTGAGTCGCGCGAGCTATGGTCGAACAGGATGCTTCCGAACGCTAAGCGGCTGGACGACATGCCCTTGGCCTCACTCTTTTGCATGTGTCCCCGAGATCCCCGCCTGCCCGGCGTCGTGGAAGGCTGTAATACCACCGAGGCAGCTATGGGCGGTGGCGGGCCGACGAACATGGCCTTGGGTTTCAACTTGGAGACAGAGCCCGCCGGGCCAAAAGGGTCATCGTCCCATGGATCTACGGGAGAAGGAGAGCGCCCTTTCGACATCTTTATAGGTAACGGCGGCGACTCTGACAGCAGCGACACATCGGGCCGGGGGGATAAATCATCGAGATCGTAGTCGTCTGAAGATTTCGGTCGGGACGTGTGGAGTGGTAGGATGGGAGACTTTTGTCGGCTCGGTGAGAGTCGGTCGAGGAAACTTGGAGAGCCGGGTGCCATCAGGTCGCATCTGACGCTGCTGAGCAGAGGTGGGAGAGTTGGCGATGGCGCAGTCAGCAGGAAATTCGTGGTTGACAGGGTTCCCGAGCGTGCTTGTCAGAGACACGATCAAGTATATCTTCACTCTAGCCAGAAGGAAGTCAATAATTAGTGACAAACAGACATTGGTGATGGGTATTGAGTGTAGAATATGACAAGATGCTATGTGAAAAGTGTGACATCTATGGGACAGAGCACAGCAAAGTCGATGATGAGAATGCGAGGCCAGGTGTAGAGGTACAAGATAAAAAGTATCTTTGGCGCGGGAAGCAAGAGCTCACGAGCTCTGAGCATGTGCTACAGGCGCCGATGCGAGACAGACGTCACACGGCGGGTCTTTTATCAATTGTAGCACCAAAAGGTACTTGCTTGCCTTAGGTAAGCTTGGGGTCGATCTTCGGAATGCGATCTCCAGGCTCTAGGTGATGGTGATGGTGATGTACCCCGATGTCTGGTTATCGATAAGCAGGTATCCGGGAAAACACTATTGGGTATCCGTAATGTTGCTGGGAAAGTCTTTCAGGTTCGCCCGTTGCTCTCATGGCTCACCAAATAAACAAATAGCAGGCCCTAAACGTAAATCATGAACTATTTGGCCCAATCGAGGTGGTCGGTAGGTCTTATATGTTCCTATTTCATCTTTTTGCTTGCCTCTCTCTTCTCGGTGATTGAGACATCTTTTGATGCGTAGAGTTTCTCCTTGGAGCCGGCCTCTCTATGTACTTCATCACGAGGTTGAGTACCCTGGCCTTCCCGGAATACGGTGCTTTACACGTCCCTTCGTCCTGCCATTGTTTGGCTTCTTGGTATCACTACAGTCGAGGCATCTGTGTCGCATTGTGCGGGCCCAGGGCCGCCATGACTGGCTTTTGATTGTAAGAGACGCAGGCTTTCAATCAAATAATGAGATGAGCTGCCTGCCTTGGCTCACATTTCGTTACTGCCCTCATCCCCGGCAGTGTCTGCATCCGCATCTCCGTTGTCCTTCTATGCCCAACGCCCAGGTCCAGGTCCCATTCATTCAGTCGGCAGGGCCCATCGATCATGAACGAGTCGGTCGTTCATTAGTCAGAGGGATTGCGTTGTAGACTCGAGTGGTTTTTCTGCCGGGACTACAAAGCGAGTAGGACAAGTCGGAAAGCGTTACAGGAAACAGGGCGAGCATAGGACAAGTTCAACTCTCAATCTTATTCCTCTCACCAACCATCAGATCAGACAAGACTGCGGATGCCGAGGAGCGTGGGCACGCCGCACTGCCACCGTCTGCCCCTGTCCTCCTGCTGCTGCTGTGTGCGCCGTCTTCTCTTCTCCCTCGTCCCTTGTGTGTCTAGTTCCCTGATCGTCGTTGTCGTCGTGGCCATTCTTTTTCATCTTTTCTGTGTTGTGTTTTTGTTTCCCGTTCGTCCCGCGTCCCATCCAACCCCCCGCGCGCGCATTATTTGGTCGTACAAGGAGAAACAATCCAAGAAAACATGATGCACTTTCTGGGCCATCGTCGAACGGCCTCGCAACAGAGTATCGACCCCGAGACACAACAGCAGCCACAGCAACAATGGCGTCCGCACCACCAGCATCGCCTAAGCGCGTCTTCGGCTCTTTGGCAAGCGGCCCAGGCCTTGGGGTCCATTGGAGCCCCGGCCGCTGCCGCTGCTGCCGCCACCACATCCCCTCCAGCTTCGAGTCCCTCTGCCTTTGAGTCTTTGTCTGGAGGAGGTGGTGTTTCTGGAGGTGTTGCTTCGTCAGCTTCAGCCTCCAATCCGCCGCCGCCTGCCAATGTCAGTTTGGATGGCCCTCCAACTGCAGGTACAACAGGTACAACTGGCGACACCACTGGCACTGGCAGTAGTAGTAGGACGGCTGGCCACACCCGCCCACCCCTGCCCAACACGGTACCTTCCAACTCATCGTCGGTTTACTCCCAGCACTCGCAGCAATCGCAATATTCGCCGTATTCTCAGCAACAACTGCAACAACACCACCACCAGCAACGGCAGTCTGGCTATTTTCAGCCCAACCACCACTCCCATCCTTCAGCTTCCGGCCCTCCTCCTCACGCCGGGCTCGGCATCGGGCTCGCTTCTCCCACAACCACTTCCTCCCTTCAATACACCCCGGGAGCCTTGAATTCAACCTCGACCTCGACACCAACATCAACTTCCGCATCCACAACAGCAGCAGCAGCAGCCTCCTCCACTGCGGCTGGTGCGCCTGGGCCATTAGTGCCCAAAGATCCCCCCGCCCTTCCCAACTTCCACTGGGACAGCGACTATTACCAGAACACGAACAATAGGAACAACACCAACAGCGAAGGCACCACCACCACCACCACCAGCGCCGCGGCCTCTCGTACGCCCACCACAGCGACCGACTCCGCTTCCGCCCGCACCCTCCAGCCTCACCAATCCCACTCACACTCTCAGTCCCATTCTCACTCTTACTCTCACTCTCATTCTCACTCCCATTCTTATTCGCACTCCTACTCTCAGTCCAACCCCTACGCTCCCTCTTCTTCCTCTCAGCCGCCTTCCTCCTCGAATAACCCTTCTTTCTCCCATTCGCGCTCCCAATCCTACGCCCAGCACAACCAGCAGCGTGCCTCCATCCCCGCCGCTCTGCTTCCGGCCCATGGCCAGCAGCTGCACCGAGACTCTACCTACTCGCTGTCTACCCACTCCACTGCGACTGAGACATCAGGGCCGCCGGGCCTTTCCCCCTCCGTCACACTGCTGCCCGCGCCAACGCCCTCCTCCTCCTCCTCCTCCTCCTCGCCATCTTCCTCCTCTGCTCTCGCAGCCATGAACCAGCAACAGCAGCAGCAGCAGTCGCCGCAGCAGTCGCAACCCCAGTTCCAAACTAGCACCCCGCGACGCACTGGCACCTACAGCTCCCAGCACGACGAATTGCACATGCCAGCGGGCATGATCCAGCACGGCCAGCCTTCACCCCGCGAATACTCATCATCCTCTGCTGCCCCCGCCGCACCCCATATCAAGCTGGAGCAGTCCTCCCCAAGCACCCACCCCCACGCGCCTCCTTACCAAAGCACATCGTCGGTGCCCAACGTCTTGCAACCAGGTGGTGCAGGCGGTCGACCTCCCGCCATCTCTGCCAACACTGCTCCCAGTATGTCTGCCATGCAGCCCCAGCAGCAGCAAGACTATCAGACGCCTTCCAAGCCTCCCAGCTTGAGCCTATCCCACAGCTACTCGCGCTCTTCGCCTGCTGCCGGATACGAAGGTGCATCGTCCTTTGCGCCCTACACGCCAACCACACCCAGTGGTTCGGGATCCCAATTCATGTCTCCGCCAGACCAAAAGTACAATGCGCCCGGCTCCCAGCGAAACATCTCGAACACGCCCTTGGGCTTGGCCGATATTCGACCCCGCGCCGACTCGAGCATGTCCGATGGCGTGCCCGGTAGCGCTGCATATGAGCTTGCCAACGCCCAGCCTGGCACGAGCAACTACCTCGCTCCTTGGGCCCTGTATGCCTTTGACTGGTGCAAGTGGCCTCCCCAAGGCAACGGCGCCGGAAAGCTTGCTGTTGGCAGCTATCTAGAAGATGGACACAACTACGTAGGAAACCCCTCGCAATGCTATTGCCAGCTGGGCCAAGCTAACACCACCGTTTCCAACTAGATCCAAATCCTCGATACCCAAATGGTCCCAACGCCCAACGATGTCTACCAGCCTGGCACCCCAAAGATCAACCTCGAATTCCAAAAAGTCGCCGAAGCCACACATTCCTACCCTGTGACGCGCTTGCTCTGGGAACCGCCTTCCTCGCAGAAGCAGTCTACTGACCTGCTTGCGACGTCCGGCGACCACCTTCGCCTGTGGTCTCTGCCCTCCGAGAGCCCTTCCTCCCAGAACAACTCCATTACCAACCGAGCCAGAGACCCTGCCGTCACAAAACTTACGCCTCTCGCGCTTCTGTCCAACTCCAAGACCCCCGATCATACTGCGCCGCTTACCTCGCTTGACTGGAATACTGTTTCTCCCAGCTTGATAATCACGTCCAGTATCGATACCACCTGCACGATTTGGGACATTCCGTCGCTGACGGCCAAGACGCAACTGATCGCCCACGATAAGGAGGTCTACGATGTTCGCTTCTGCGCCAACAGCGTTGACGTATTCGTGAGCTGTGGACAAGACGGTAGTGTCCGCATGTTCGATTTGCGCAGTCTTGAGCACAGCACCATCATCTACGAGCCCACCGGAAAGGATGAGCGAGGTACCTTCCGCCCACAATACCACTTTTGCAAGTTCCCTGACACTAATCAAACCTGACAGATGCCAATGGTGGACGGATCAGCCCTACGCTTGCGCAGCAGACCATGTCGAACCCTCCGCCCTTGTTGAGACTAGCAACCTCTCCCCACGATACCCATTTGCTGGCCACATTTGCGCAAGACTCAAACGTGATTCGTATCCTTGATGTGAGACATCCTGGACAGGCTCTTCTCGAACTCAGGGGCCATGGAGGTTCCCTCAACTCCATTGAATGGTCGCCTACGAGGCGCGGCGTTCTGGCTTCCGGAGCCGACGACTGCCAGGTGCTTCTTTGGGATGTGTACAACAACAATCCTGCTCTAAGTGGTGGTCCTCCTGCCAACGGTGCCGCCCAGCCAGACAACACGAGAAGCCCGTACGCTAGCTGGCAGTGCGATTATGAAGTTGGCAACCTTGCTTGGGTGCCTCATCTTTCCACCGACCAGGGAGAGTGGTTAGGAGTCAGCGCCGGCAGGGGCCTTTGGGGTGTCAAGACATGTGGACGAACCGGCGCCTGAAGGAACCGAAGGCGACGAGCAGCAACTAATCCGACCGCCTTGCTGCGCTGTTCATAGATCTGGCTGGTCACTCATGATATATGCATCGCAAAGCCTGGCGTTTGGGGATCGGCTCTTGAGCCGGCTGTAGGGAAGGGGATACTACCTGTGAAAACTGTGTTTCAAATGAATTCACTTGGAATAGGCAGTCATTTGGGGCGAGTTTGTTTGCACCACAAGACTCAGTCAGTATGGCCCCCCCTGGTCGGTGGTCAGGAACAAAAGTTTGGGACAGTGGGTGGCTATATATCGGCGGGCACAGTCGAAAGGGGAAGAGTGAAATGTTATAATAGTGTGCGGTGGTTATCCCGCATCAATGTGGCCGTTCCCAGTGTCCCCAATACATGTACCTACTTTTAGGTAACTCGAAAACACAGCACTTTTTGTGCAAAAGTCCATTGCTGTGAATCAGAGCTTTGTCAAAGGCTGGCCACTAATGTCATCATCCAAAGTGACGACTGCTTTGCCCCAGATTTTGCGGCCTGTCATGTCTTTTAGAGCCCTGGGGACACTTTCAAGGCCAGGGTACTCGACGTGATAGATGACGGGCCGTATTTTGTCGGTCTCCATCAAGGGCCGCAGCTGGTCCCAGATGGCCTTTTCTTCTTCAGGATATCGTCGCAAGCTCTCGCCGTATCGCTGCGAAGGCCAGGTTAGCCGGTTCCTCTGGGCGAGAGGTGAGTTAGTTTGGAAACAAAGTTGAATACTCACATAACCAATCAGAGATACCTGCTTCAAAAGAACTCTGTTCATCGCGATCTTCTCCATGTCGTCCTTGATACCAGCGAACCCTACAATCAGTATTTTGCCTCTGTGAGCAATGCACTTTAAGCTTCGGTCAACGAGGCCGACGGGATCAAAGACGACGTCGACGCCCTGTCCATCAGTTAGTTCCAGCACACGATCCCACCACGCCGCGTCCTCGGAGTAGTTGATGCAGACATCAGCTCCCGACTGTCGAGCCACGTCACACTTCTCAGACGAGCCCGCCGTTCCTATCACCCGGCATCCCATGGCCGCGGCAACCTGGAGGGCCATTATACCGAGTCCTCCCGCAGCAGCGTGGATCAAGACGGTCTGGCCGTGCTTGATGCCGGCCTGAACGAGTGCCGCGAAGGATACGGGGAGCGTGGCGGCTAATCCGGCAGCTTGGGCGAATGTCCATTTGGGAGGGATGTGGTGGAGGGGTGTTGAGGCGTCGAGTGAGATTATCTCGCTGTAGGAGCCTGTGCTGCCTCCGAAGACTCTGTCGCCAGGACGGAAGGAGGAGGCGGGTGGGGAGGAGAGGATGATGCCGGCGAATTCTAGGCCTAGTATGAAGGGCGGCCGTACTAGGGATCGGTTGTTTTGGTGTTTTCCTTTGGCCTATGTGCGAAGTATTAGCCGGCCGACTGCGTGAGACTTGTGACGACTTGTCTTGGACGTACATAGAGGGTATCGACAAAGTTTACCCCGGCGGCCTTGACTTGGATGAGATATTGGTCTGCTGTTGGGATCGGTCTTTCGATTTCTGAGACCTTGACTTCATCAAAGTTCTTGCCGATGGATTAGACCATGTCTGTGAAGTTGAAGCACAATCTATGGAGATTGGGACTTACGTTGACGAATTCGTTTATAACTACAGCTTTCATTGTTTGCCTCGAGCTTACAACCATTTTCAATTATTCAAAATCGAGTTGATGTCAATTTCATAGAGGAGATAACACTTGCAAAGATGCAGGGGTGAGCTCCTAGTATTTATGGATTGAGGAGGTTTATTCGTGGCTGTTGTTTCTCATGAATTGGAGAAGCACTACCTAGGTACCGAGGCTTCTATCGGCTCTCATGTCGGGCATCTGTGAGCGTGCCGTATTTGCATATCTACAACGCAGAAAAGCAAGTTTATTCTAATGACCGTCACGTAAATTTAGCATCCAAGATAGATTACATGGTCGAGCACACTTCCGAGCATCACGTAGAGTTCACTACCTTTCAATTGTCTCTGTGTCTCCATCACTTGTATATCTTGACTTCCAACCATGATTTCTTTTTAGTTGTAGATTGAAATTGAAACCAGAATTCACAAAGTTCCCTGTTAATCTCTCGTCAATATATGAGATGCATCATACAAGAATACTTATTGGATTTAATTGCCATCCCATATCTCTTCAACTCGGTGGAGACAGTACGGATGCAGTGAAGTCAATCGGGGATTCAGTAATAGATGGCAGGAACTGGTAAGCTCCAATAGGGCGGATCCATTGCAGAGCACCTACCGATTTGCCTCAGGTGTCAGTCTGGAATTCCCACGCTAGTCCCTTTTCGGACAGAGATGTCCTTCGCGTTATTCGCCTGTCTCTAGTCGTTGCCTTTGCTGATTCTAAGCTTTCTATCCTCCGTTGCCTTTTCTTTCGCCTTCACCTCAATCCCAACATTCAACTTGGTAGCCGAACCCCTTTGGCCCCTTCCTCCATCTTTCAGCTCGATTGATCCCCTTGAGCCGGAGCCTAAGGCTGCTGCCGGGCGATCCAGTTTGAAAGGCCATCCTTCTTTCCCTTGATACTCTGCTTTTGCAGATTCAAAGGATCTCGCATCGACAACATCGCGGAAAACCTACACGACTTCATACCTTTGACTCGGCGCTCCGTCACATACCATCATGTCTTCCAACCGCTACGACGACTCCGAGGAGGAGGATGACTTCAACCCTGCGCCCGCCGACTTGTCCGACGAGGAACCCGACCAGCCAGCTAGCGACAATCATGCTCGCGAGAGCAGCCCTGCCGACGATGCCCCTGCCCCCTCTAAATCGAGAGTAATCGACGACGATGACGAAGAAGACGAAGATGATGTGGCCCAGCACGACGACGACGATGAAGAAGAGGATGAGGACGACGAGGACGAAGACGATATTCAACAGGTAAGCCTGTCGATGCCTGCGCCATCTGCATCCTTTTAAAAAGCTACTTGGGAAGGCATTAGGCAACCCTTTGCCACTTTCGCATACCCCAAAAGTCATGATTCCTTTGGCGAGGACTTGTTTAACATTATATCAATAGGGACATCGTCGCAAGCGCAGAAAGGACCGCCGAGCCGCCTTCTTCGATATCGAAGCCGAAGTCGACGACGAGGAGGATGGCGAAGATGAAGAGAAAGATGGCGAGGAGATTGAAGATTTCATCGACAACGCTCATCCCGACGACATTGCTGAGAGTGGACGCCTCGATGATGACAGACGTCACAGGGAGCTGGACCGTCGGCGCGAAATGGAGGCGAGCATGGACGCCGAAAAGCAAGCCGAAATCCTTCGACAGCGTTACGGCAACCGCCGCCCGAACAAGGGCTTTGGAGACTCAGCCGTCGTTCCCAAGCGCCTGCTTATGCCCAGCGTCGACGATCCTACCATCTGGGCTGTCAGATGTAAGGAAGGCAAGGAGCGAGAAGTGGTCTTCTCCATCATGAAGCGCATCGAGGAGAGACTGGGGACCAAGGATGAATTGGCCATCATTTCGGCCTTTGAGCGCGGTGGACCGACCTCCGTCATGAAAGGCTACATCTACGTTGAAGCCAACCGCTCCACCGACATCATGGTTGCTCTTGACGGCATGTTCAACGTCTACCCGCGATCCAAGATGATTCTCGTCGACATCAAGGATATGCCCGACTTGCTTCGTGTCACTAAGACCCCCACCCTGGAGCCTGGTGCGTGGGTGAGGCTGCGCAAGCCTGCCAAACACGCTGGCGATCTTGCTCAGGTTATCGACGTTACCGAGAACGGCCTTGAGGCTAGAGTTCGGTTCATCCCTCGTCTCGACTACGGAATGAGAGACGATGCGCTATCGGCGGTGAGTGCCGACGGCAAAAGAAAGCGACCCATCGGCGTGGCGGGTCCGCGCCCGCCCCAGCGCCTCTTTAACGAGACCGAAGCTCGCAAGCGGCACCCTCGACATATCCAGGGTAATCCCACCACCAAGGTGTGGAATTACATGGGCGACGAGTTTGAGAACGGCTTCCAAGTCAAGGATATCAAGATTCAGCAGCTGGTAGTTACCGACGTCAACCCAACCTTGGAAGAGGTTACCAGATTCGCCTCCGGCGCTGAGGACGGTACCGAGAATCTCGACCTCAAGGCTTTGGCCTCGAGCTTGAAGGACAGTAACATCAATGTCACATACCTGCCTGGTGATATCATCGAAGTCTATGAGGGCGAGCAGAAGGGTGTGGTTGGCAAGGCTACCAACGTCCAAGGTGATATTGTCACCATGCAAGTCACAGAAGGAGTACTTGCCGGACAAATCATTGAGGTGCCGACCAAAGGCCTGAGAAAGCGTTTTAGGATTGGAGACCATGTCAAGGTTACCAGCGGCAGTAGATTCCGCGATGAAGTTGGTATGGTCGTCAAGATCTCGGAAGACCGGGTCACTTTCTTGACCGATCAAACCAATACCGAAGTCACCGTCTTCAGCAAGGATTTGCGTGAAGCCAGCGACATCGGAGGACAGGGCTCGCTCGGCCAGTACGAGCTGTTTGACCTGGTTCAGCTGGACCCCACTACGGTCGGTTGTATTGTCAAGGTCGACCGTGAGTCGGTGGTGGTCCTCGACCAGAACGGAGATACCCGGCAAGTCATGCCTTCCCAGATCGCGAACAAACTGCCAAAGAGGAAGATCGCCGTGGCCGCCGACAGAAACGGCTCCGAAATCAGACTCGACGATGTGGTCAGGGAGTATGGTGGTCAGCAACGCCAGGGCAAGATTATCCACATCCACCGTGCCTACGTCTTCCTGCACAACACTGACAGCAATGAGAACGCTGGTGTTTTCGTGACCAAGGCTGGCAACGTCAACACAATTGCTGCCAAGGGTGGGCGTGTACTTTCAGCTGGCCCCAATCTCGATCAGATGAATCCCGCTATGAAGCGCAATCCCAATGGATCTGAGAGCAAGATGGCACCACCCAAGAGCTTTGGAGGACGTGATCGTGCTATCGACAAGACAGTCATCATCCGAAAGGGCGGTTACAAGGGTCTTCTCGGCATTGTCAAGGATGCAACTGACACACACGCTCGTGTCGAGCTGCACACTAAGAGCAAGACAATCACTGTACCTAAAGATCACTTGAGCTTCAAGGATAGAATCACGGGAGCCAAGATTGAAATTAATGGTCGCGGAGGTCGTGGTGGACACAGCGGTCCTCCGGGTGGTGGTCGTGGAGGGCATGGAGACTGGCAAGGAGGCCGAACCCCTGTTGCCTCTGGCGGCCCGGAGAGAACTCCTGCTTGGGGCTCAAGGAGTAAGTCTGCCCCTAACTCTCCCTTTTTGTTGAAAGCTGATGCTAACAAATACAAGCTCCTGCGCCCACCGGCGGTCGCACTCCTGCATGGAAGTCAAGTGGTCCAGATTATGGCGGATCGCGTACGCCAGCATGGGCCGACGGGTCACGAACCGCCTACGGAGACGGCAACCGCACCGCGTACGGCGGAGGTTCGAGAACTCCTGCTTGGCAGTCAGGCGCAAAGACACCAGCACATGATGCTTTCGGCCTTGGTTCGAAGACGCCAGCATATGGAGGAGGAGATGCCTGGGGCTCTGGATCCAAGACACCTGCTTACGGTGGCTCTGCGCCTACTCCCGCCGCCAGCGGAGGCGACTCGTGGGGATACACCCCCGGCAACTCTTACGACGCGCCGACACCAGGTGGTGCTCTTCTGAGTGCACCAACACCCGGTGCTCTCAACGCCCCCACTCCTGGTGCTTACTCGGCGCCTACCCCTGGTGCCGCAAGTGCCCCAACTCCAGGCGGCGGATGGCAAGGTGGATGGGGAGCAGACTCGGTGCCAACACCGGCTGCCGGTGCTCCTACCCCGGCCGCCAGCGGGTTCAACTCTTCATCAGCCTACTACGGCGCGCCGACTCCTGCGGCATATGGCGCGCCTGAGACTCCGGCTGCCAGCGGACCCCGATACACCGACGACGACTAGATGTCGAGGGTGTAGGTCCGAGGGGAGGTCGTCCGATGCGTCGTAGGTGGCTTGTTCGTTTGGCGATGGGAGGCAAGGCAAGGTTGTACATTACCCGGCGTTTGTGTAGAAAAGGAAGATGCGCCCAAAGTCGTGCGCGTTCAAAACAGGAGACATACCAATCTTTCCCCTAATCGAGTTTGAATCTGCCTGGATGAAAATTGTTTTCTGCAAAGGGGGGCCATTTATTGCTCTGTAACTATATTACCTAAATCACAGAGCAGCATATGTCCAGTCACAGCCAAATCGAAATGCTGTGAGGTATTCCCGATTGAGTATGATGATTCCCTATCATGCTCCAGTCTCAAATCTTAGGAGTTTGCTCGCCTGCCCTCCCACCCCAAACATCACACAGCTCATTGGACTTTACGACATTGCTGTTTATGACTTTATTAGTTCGAAATCGAGCATTGTTGTTTAGGGACTTTACTAGTAGGATATATTCTCGGATAGTTATCACCACTGCTCTGGTTTGGCATATCATGTCTCCAGGTTTATGGTGGTACGATGATCGTTACTGTCTTTGCAATATCAACTCAATTTGGGTCAGGAGACTACGCGCCTACGCATACAGTCTACGGCCGCACTTGAGCTCTTGAAGAATGATAGAAATACAAAAGCCAAATTCGCTTGGGTTGTTGAAAAACCTGATTGTTGGCACGGACGCCAAGCAAAATGATAAACCAAGAAATAGTAATGATTATGAACAACAGGCTTGGCTTCATGAATCCGCAATACGCCTCCGCTGCTTCAACCAAATTCGACGCGTATGAGAAACCCCTGCAACCGCCGATAAACTCTCGTCCTCACCTCTTTTTCTCACCTCTTTTGATGTCCTTTCCTCAGTCGCCCTTCTTCTCCAAATCGGATGCCGGTCTACTTAGTCGCGATCACGGCCTTGTTGGCACAATCGGAGCAGATTTTGAGGCGGTGCCACGCGTTGGCCAAGTTTCCACGCTGGTTGTAAATGGCCGAGTAACTCTCGGGTTGCGAGTTATATGCCTCATCGGTGGCCTTGACGAGCAGGGTGGTACACTTCTTGGTCCCTTCACCTGGCTCGCCAAGCGGGATTGCGCCGTCATACCTCCAGCGCTTCCATGCCCAGGACTTGTGCCCGGCCTTTGGCGGGGCTCCAGGCTCGTCGAGCAACTCGGCTTGATCCCAAGTTTTGCCATTGTCGACGCTGACATCGACACGAACAATACGGCGACCGCCACCGGAGTAGGCGTAACCCATGAGAGACGCTTCGCGGAGGCTGTCGGCCTTCTCATTCGCCTCTGACTCACTTGTTGTTGCTCTCCAGTCACCTAATCTGACGGTGGTAATGGCGCTCGTGATGGGCATCTCCTGAATTGGTGCGGCGCGATCCCAGTCGGGACTCGTCTCGTTGGGGCCAAAGCACTTATAATCTTTGCGCTGCCATTGGCTGTGGCTTTCTTCATCAGAAATAGTGATCTGGCTCAACCACTTGACGGAACGAGCTGCCACATGGCCCGGCACAAGAGCACGAAGAGGGTATCCATGGTCTCGCGGCAGCGGCTTGCCATTCATCGAGTATGCCAGCAAAACGTCACCACGCGGGTCCAGAGCAGATTGAATGGGAATTGACGCGCCATAGGCTTCGAGCGCCATGAACTGAACGTGTTTGGCCTCTGTATCTCCAGTCATGGCCTCGAGTATAGGAATACCGGCATCGGCAAGTACGTCGGTGAGCTTCACGCCCTGCCATTCCGCACAAGAGATGGCGCCGACATTCCACTGGAGTCCGTTGGTTTTCTTCGCGTTGCGCGTCATGTCGCTTCGGCGGTTGCCAGAGCATTGCAAAACAGCCACAACAGTGGTAGGCTTGAACTTGGTTTTCAGGTCATCGAGAGAGTACTCCTTAATGGTGCCATCGAGGAGCTCAATCTTGAGGGTGTAGTCCGAAGTATCATCGACCTGGGGAACCCACATGTGGTTGCGCACGTAGAAGAGCTCATTGGGAGTGAGATAGCTGTCAGCCAGACCTTCCACGGGCGTCTCTGCATTGCGAGGCTTGGGAGTGAGGGTGATGAGTCTCTCGTCACGGGTAGGATCGTGCTTGAAGGGGTCTTCTATTTCCTGAGCAGCGGGCTTGCCGTCGACAAGGTCGTCCGAGTCGATGAAGCCAATCAAGTACTGTTGAAGGATTTCATAAACGTGGGGCGACTTGTGGATGGTGAAGATGTTCCAGTAGGGATCAATGCTACCTCCAGCAGCACGGAGGATGACATCACCTCCGGGGTGGGCGGCAACCCAGTCAGTTATGTCGTAGACCTTGTCGCCTTGGGTAACCCATGGGCTACCGGATTTGGCATCATGTTTTCGGATTTCGGAGAGCCTGAAGCGAGGGACAGATGGGTCGCGGTCGTCGGTGGACGGGGCCGGGTCGGAGGCATCTGCTTCTTCCTGAGTGGGCACATGGAAGGGCTCCGAGAGGCCGACGAAGAGAGACAAGAGCCCGCCGCTAGCGAGCAAGGTACTGACGGTGGCCGGGCCCTTGCGGCGGCGTGGGTGCTGGGTCTCACGTTCCTCCCCTGGGCGGGTAGTCTGGTGTTTCTGGGTATGTTCCTGACTATCACGGCCACCGGCCAAGGGCGTCGAGGAGGAGACGGATGTCGGTCGGGGGTGTCTCGAGCAGGCAGAGGCGTGTAGAGTACGACGTCCTGGAGGAGGAGCGTGAGAAGGAGGAGCGGCAGCGGCAGAGGCAGGGATCCAGCTCGCTCGCCATGGTCCAGGAGGGCCAGGAGTCGGACGAGGAGGGACGGGCCGCCTTGTCGAGAGCTGTATGAGCTCGCTAAATAGACGCCGCGGCGCTTGCATTGGATTTGGATCGAGGTGAATGGCTAGATTGGGCGGGATAGGCTTCGTTTGGTGGTGGACGACGTCGAGAGCGCGGCTCTGGTGTGGAGCTTGGACGATGAGGTGACTGACCGGGGCGATGGCGTGATTGCGCCTCGATGACCTTTTGGCTGTTTTGAGAGGAGGGAAAAACTCAGAAGTGGGCCTGTACAATCAGGTGTGGCACGTGTGTGTTTGCATAAAACACGGCGAGAGTGTATTATGTAATATAATCCAGTAGTTATGCAAGTGGTACGTGCTTCTCACCGGGGACCACCGACGTCGCCGACCGAGGGTTCCACTTTCGGTTCTTCTTCCTTAGGTAAGCAAGCTTTTTGGGGGTCAGTGAGGATGGGATCAATTCTAGCAAGACCGGGAGGGTGACGGATCTGGGCAAGACATGGGGGGTTCTTTTGCTTTAACACATCTCAATCCGTTGATTTCTATTAAAATCACTGGCATTGGCCTCCCACATGTCCCGAACTACGCTGAAGGGCACGTTATCAAACTTTCAGCCGACAATAAACTCAAAACCAAGGGAATCCGTGTGTCATGGTGCTCCAAGTGGCCGAACGAGACCGATGAAAGCCGCGAAACCGCCCACGTGGACCCCGAACACCGTCGCAGCCCGGCCCCGATACGTCTCAACCTCCATCCTGGGCCCTGTTAGTCGCCGACGCGATGGAGACGGTAATCACCTACTGTCATGTAGCAGCTCTCTCGTTACGACTATCTACTTCCTGAATACTGCATGTGTACGGATACAGAATACTCCGATACTTGCTTCCCCGCAACTATAATTGAACCTCTGCATACGTCCCAGGCCATCGGCGACGACCTAACCACCCGGGCTTCTTGCTAAGTAGACCAATCATGGACAAGTCAATTATCAGTGAGGTAGTTGCTCAGTTGAGTGGATCGTCAATCATCTGAAGGATGCCACTCAAAGGAGCCACCAAAACCATTCTGCAGATGAAGCTATTCTCCGATGGTTTTACTAACCCCAGAGCTCAACTAAAGAAGCTCTGATTGGATTATAACTGTCTACTATAAGATCTCCATATCATAGCAGTCACTCACGCTTACTTCACCACTCAACGCCCCTGAGCACTCGCGTTCACCTTGGCTTTCTTACGATGCCTCTCCTGTGTCTTGTCCTTGCCCCCCTTACTGCCCTGTGCTGATGACTCCCCGGTCTCGCGCTTCCGCTTCTCACCGGAAGATCCACCAGAAGCATCAGCTCCATCATCCCCACTCTCCGGCACCAGCTCCGTGTCGCTAGCCTGGCTCAGATCGTCCTCTTCCCCACGGTCTCGGTATGTTGGGTCGTGGGCGAGAGATCCACGATACGGCTTACGCTTCTGTTTAGTCCGGTTCCCGAAGCCGCCTTCGCCATTGGCCAGCTCCTCACCATTGTCCTCGTTGTCTTCTCTATCTCTCTCAGCTCTTTGTTCATCCCCTTCGTCCTCTTCATCATCCTCATTGACAGCCGAATTCAACTCATCGTCATCGTCATCATTCTCTTCCTCCTCGTCCTCATTTCCTGGTACGTAATTCCGCAAGCCGTCGTCCTCGCTCTTATCGCTGTCGTCGTCATTTCCAGGCCGGTAACGCAATCCCCAGTTCTCTTGGTTGCCGGGATGATTCGGATCCCGAATCCACAAATTCCTCCCAGACGTAAAAATGTTATCCTTGGGGAAGATAGTCCTCTTCAAGTCCGGGTTGTCTCTGACAAAGCGTTGTCTAAGTTCGACCACAGCGCCCGCCTTTTTGATATCCTTCTTCGAGATCCAACCTACTTTGCTTGGCAATATGCCCTTATCTTCACGGTCAATTTCCACTTGGCCTTGTCTTGCTGAAATTCGGCAGCTACGTCTTGGATCCGAGTGTGCCTAAAGGTGATGGGTTAGCTCGGTGTGCCTTCGGATTACAAAGTACTCACGTCTATCTGCTCTTGTTTAGAAGGTTCGCCAGGAAAGATAGTCTTGGGAACCGTACGCAAGCATCGTGAACAGTACATTCCGGCAGTCGGCACAAACTTAGCCGCGGGTGTACTGCCGACGTTCGTTGGCGTTTCCTTGATCTTCTTGGGGTCCTTAGTCTGCTTCTTGGGATCTTTAGTAGTGTCTTTTCTTGTCCCCTTCAGACTCCTTGGGCCCTTTGGCGGTTTTGGTCCTTGGCCAGGGCTGGTCACCAAAGTGGCGGCTTCGGGCCTCTTGGGACCTGTAGGCGGAGGGCTAAGAATCCGCCCGGGCTCATTTGTCCGGCCGCCTTGATGGCCTCCGGATCGGACGGCAGGGCCTGTTCCTGTCTGCCTCTCGCCTGTCGCAACTGGCTCTGGCACCCAACCCCGTATGTCTTTGAGCGGTGCCAGACCTGGAACTGGATTCTTTCCTTCGCAAATTCTCTGCTGTCTCCTTTCTTCGCGAGCAGCCGCAAGTTCAGCGCCTATGTCGCGGACCACCTGTGCCTCAAGGGGTTCGATAGCGTGCGCCTTCTTCAGATGCTCGTTCCACTGGAGCTGGTTCATGAAGCCCACCATAGCGCCACACTGGTCAAAATGAGGACAGCGCTTGTCGCGCCGGTCCAGTGCGCTCTCGTTCTCGGGATCCCAAAGGCTGTGGCCTGGATTGAAGGGTTCCTGACTGGCTATGGCTGGAGGCCGAATAGTGCCGGTCAGAACGTCCCAAAGTTGATAGACGTGGCACTCCATGTGTGAGACCTGATCTTTCCTGTCCTCCCACTCCCCGAGCTCCGGTTGCTTCTCGTAATCTTCCTTGGGCCTCTTGAACGACAGATGGCAGAGCGGGCACTGTTTTAGAGGCTCCCCAAGATGCTTATTTTCAAAGTGTCCCAGAATCTCGGACGGCATCAGGCCGAACAGAGGTTCACGACACCCGGGGGCAGGACACTCGGAAGGTGGGTCCGATGTAGGAATTGGTCCTGGCTTATCATGCCACATGAGGGGGTGGCTGAGATAGCGACTAGAAGCGCGAGGACGACGCTGTTGTCTGAATAAGGCCGCGGAGGTCTTCTCGGCCCCCACGAAGAGAGGGTCGACCGACGTGTCAGCATCCTTCCAGAGAGCCTCTGGATAAATGTCCCAAGGTGATGGCTTAGCGCCTTCTTGTTTAGGGCAAGTCGTGATATGTTTCCTGATGTCATCAACAGGTTCCTGTGTTCCATCGCTTACAAAGGATTTCTGGCAGTACGGACAGAAGCAACCCAGAGTACTATAGAAGCCTCCACAGAACTTGCGGTGCTTGTCAATTTTCTCATCTGATAGCCTATTCATCGAGAATCCGCACTTGGTACAATGCGGCTTGTTCTCTTGAAGAGTGCCGTGGCACTTGTGCGGATACGTGTCGAACGGTGCAATATCTTTAGCGTCTTTCTCGGTCTTCCACTCACGATCTCCGCAAAGTTTGCAGAATGTACATCTCCCAGCTCCCTCAGCTAAGGGGACGCAAACACGATCATGATGCTTTCGATCCTCATAGCTCTTGAGTTCCTTGTGGTCACGGCCGCAACGATCACAGTATCGATAGCCTTTCTCCCTATCGCTGGCTTTGGCTGGCTGTTCTGGTCGAGGCAACGGACCAAGTGGGGGTCTGGTTTGGTCGGTGATTCTGAAGGTTGAAAGAGATGTCGTAGCCCCCGAAGGGCTATTGCGCGGTCTTTGAGGGATGACCTTCGTTTGAGTTGAACTTGACTTGGGTGTCTCGGGAAGCTGAAGCACTTTTCGCAACTGGTCTGCGTGGGAGTCTCGATAGTGTTCTTCTTTCTGCTTACAAGACCAGTGCCTAAAGAGCTGGGTGTCACACCACGGGCACTTCTCTTCGACATGAGTCTTCTCTAGATGCGTGAGGAGTGTTTCGTCTTCATCTTGGCGATATGTGAACCGACATTCCTGGTACGGGCACGCGGCGAGCCGAGCCAGATTCACCTTGGAAAGACTCCAGACTTTATCCTGTAGCTCCCGCTGCTCGCTGGGCGTGAGAACGTTCTTGGTAACCATAGGGACTCGACCTGCCCCAGTCCTCAGGACGGCCTCCACGGGCGGCGCGTTGATCGGAAAGGAGGGGTTCCAGACACCCATGTCGAAGATGCTTGGCTGCTGCACATAGCTTCGCTCACGGGGTGTCTGATCGGGCTCTCTTGGCAAAGGGTTAGCAGATTTCCGAGGAGCTAGAGGCGCCGTCTTCGGTTCCTGGAAGACTACATGGCGGAGCTTGCCAGGAGGAACAATTGCAGGCAAGGACAGCTCTTTCCGAAAGGGTATCACTTCGCCGTACCGAGGACCCCAGTGGTTATTTGCCTCGGTTGCTTCAGCTAGTGTCTGGACTATACGTTTCTCAGGTTAGCTGCGATACCAGGGGATATGCAGGGAGCATGTCTTCTCACCAAAGTCCAACTCGCCATCTTTCAAGACGTCTACTCGCGCCAACTGAGATACGAGGAAACGCCGGGCCATGGCTGCCTCGGAGTCAGTGGCATCTGGCCGGAGAACAAAGCTGGACGGGTTCCAACTCCCTCCAAATGTTTCTTCGTCAAAAATGGGCTCTATGAGAATGCTGTCCTTTTCGGCGTCATAGGTGATATCTTTGTCTCCGGAATACAGAGTTTCAACTGTGGATTTCAACGCTTTCATAGTGAGAGGCTTCATGTTGAATGTTGCCTGACCCTTTTCTCCGTCAACCGACTCAATGGTACATGGTTCCTCGGGTCCGTCTACCGGCTGTATCACGAAGAACTGACAGGGCTCGTCCTCGTCGTCGACAGAGCTGGAAATGAGCTTCGACAACGTCTTCTGGGCTTGTTTCGAAGAATCTCTATCCCGATGGTTCCATCGAACTGGGGCGTAAGTACCAGCAGGGTAACTGACCAGTGGGTTGAAATAGTCGATTCCGCGCCAAATAAGGTAGTAAGAGGTCTCCATGAGCATTCTGACGCTCTTCGTCATTAGGCCGACCTTTTGCAGGGCATCGGGATAGGGGTCTCTCGAGCCTGTCCGTCGAAGGCACCCTCGGTTCTTGATAGTGCTGGCGTCGTTCAAGTTTCCTGGCAGGTAGAACACAACGGTATCGTCGGCTAGGGGGCGTGTCTTGACTCTGAATGCTTTGCCCTTGCTGATGTAGGGGTGCATCATGTCCCAGAGTTCGCGGTGGATTTCTAGACCACCATACCACGGTGATGGGAATCCCTCTGGGTCGTCATCATCACGTGAAATGACAAGATCACAGTGGTTTCCTCCTGGCCGATCCGGCCTTCCCACCAGCACTTCTTGTGCCGTCGTGAAGAAGACCATGTATTGGTTGGAACCCCAGACTTTTGTGGGAGGATATTTATAGCCTTCTTGCATGGAGCCAAAGAAATGTTTGCGATCAGGCACTTTGAAGTACGAGAGGCTTTCCCGCCCGTCATCGTCAACATAAGTCAACTTGATGAGTGTGCTTGAGAAGAAGGACTTTGGAGGTTCCCATTCAGAGGGGATCTCTTCGCCTCTGCGAAGCACAAACCAGGCCGAGTTTGACTCGGACTTAGTTGCCTGTCCCAGATGTTCCGCAAGATCACTGACAGGGTTGAGTGGGATGTTGTCATCGAACTGGTGCACAACTTCTGCCGTCTCGAGATCAAATTCCATGAGGACAATGTCGCTTTGCTCCCGTCGGCGCAGAGAGAGGAGCTTTCTGGCAGCTGCCTGGAACGTGGACATGTCGTCGGGGTCGAACATGACTCTGCCTTGGAATCCAAACAGAGGAACCCAACCATTTGTTTCGTCCGACTCTGGGGATGGTTGCCCGGTCTTTGAGGTCATTTCGAACTGTCTCTGACGTCGCCTTGACTCAGGCGTGTTAGGGTCTCTGCCTGGGATGACTCTGTTTGATATACCCGCCAAAGGCATCGTCACGGTCTCACCGCTCGAACCGGCATCCGGTGTATCGTTATCTTCGTTTTCTAAAGCCATCGCACTTTCTGACGGGCCAAGGGTTTGGCCTACATCGTCATTTGGCGAATATTTCGCATCTGCCATGGAGGCATCGTCATCGTCGCCCCCTCCGCGAAGGCTCAGCCCTTCGCCAATGGCGCCTGTCATCTGGGAAGCTGCCACAGGGATGGTGCTGTAATGATCCTCTTTTCCTTTTTCTTCATCTTAGCTTGGCTAAAGGCACTTGGACAGCAGGTACTAACCTCTCATGTAGTCGTATCCAAAATTCCTCTGGTCGTGGGCAGTCAAGAATTGCAGGGGAGGGCGAACCTCGACAGTACGTAGCTCATCCCAGTCGTCCACAACAAAGTCTGGTTTCGAAAAGCGTGTCAGCTCAGATAAAACTGGCTCGACAGGCAGACCGAAGTAAAGCATCGTGAATTTCGTCGCCAGTGAGGAGCGGCATCCTTTGAATCTGTTGGTCATCAAGCTTTGATATCGCCGTGCGCTGTCTTCTTGACAGTCTCTCAAACTGCGAGGCTCCGTAGCTGGCATAAAAAGCTTCCGCTCATGGGATGTGAAGTAATCCTCCAAGACCTGCCCTATCTGCGTGGTGGGCAAGCTGAGCAGATCTTTGAAGTGCTCATGGGTGGTCTTCCAGGCCTCATCAGTTGGTCTAATGAGAGGATCGTACCTCTGCTGAGGCTCGAGTGCTTTTTTGATCGGTTCAGACATGCCGGGATGGACGGGAAGTGGAGTTCTACAAGTCTAAAGTTCGAGATAATTGATAGTGTACGAGTCAAAGACAGGGCAGAGAAGGAAGGAAAAGAGTGGTGATTTAAGCAAAGGTTGAGAGGAGAAGAGAAGTGTGCTGTGTCTACCAAGAAGCTTTGCTAAAAGACGTCTCAAATACCAACGAACGAATCTAACCAAAGGGATGAAGGAGGTTCCGCCATCGAGGGATGCAAGTTGTGAATGGCATTCCGAAATATTTGGCGCCTTTGACAGAATAAGAACGCCTGCATTGGCAGATTTGGAACGCTGATGCCCATTGTCCATTGTCTATTGAAGTTTCCTCAGGGTCAAAGCCACCGGCAATGGATGGAAGCGGAGCATCTTTGTTCGCACTGGATATCCCTTGCGAACGTACATGGACCAGCAGAGGTAGGAGGCAAACATGTCTACGCTTCTTATCCCTTAGCCTGGCAGCTGAAGCTAGATGCATTTCGATTGATGCTGACATAGGTAGGCACCTGGACAAAGACTTGGAACAGAATGGGCCCCCCGAACCATCTCGGTCTCTAGAAGCCCCGAGAGCAGATTGTGACACTGGCAATAGTTATAGAGCTCTGATCTTGGAGTTCGATCTTGGAGCTCCATCTCAGGGAGCAAGAATGAGAAAAAGAAGTTCAATGATGCCATTGTTATTTACGTCAACTTCATGGTGGTTAACGCAGTTTCAGAGAGTTTGTTGCTAAGGAAAGCCATACAGTCAAAGGTGGGATAATCATTCGCATCTGATGACAGACACTGGGTTGTAAGTATCTCTTTTGACTCATGCTTGATGTCGATATCGAGGTCGAGGTCTGTGGACTTGCCTCCCGTCGTGTTCCATCTGATTTTCCTTGTTGCGGTGTACATCGGGGACAATATGCGAACATCTGCAGCGATGGGAAACAGTGATGTCCAAGAAGTAGAAAATGAACGTATTGGTTTCATGTTAACTGGAAACTTCTCAACCAAAGTAACCCAAGCAAACTAGGATCACAAGGCGATTACGAGTAGACTCTTCATGGGTATGTAGTCACAAGTAGTAGCGGGAATGGGTTGTAGAGAGTGCCAAATAGCAAACGGCCATGGCAACCAAAATTTAGTATTGACCAACCCCACGAGTGAACGAAATGTCAATCGGGTAACGAGCCCAGCCTTTCAAGTCGAAACACCCCAAGCCAGCTATGAAGAAATTGACTCTCCAAGAATACACAGCGCCTCAATCCTTGACTCCCAAACGCAGCCACTCTGTTTTTTGGTATCAAACCACCCTAGCCACTCGCGGGAAAGAGAAAAGAAAAAGCAGATTTTTATGATACGTCCGTACAAATAATTATTACACAAATTCGCGGCTTTTGCGAGCGAGGACGCGAATGTTGTCGACGAATGCCTCAACGAGTTGCTGGTATTGATGCGGCTCGTTTCTCATTGCGCGGCGTTGTTGATCGATGACGATTTCGGGTGATAGCTCTATTTCCAGTTCGTGCTCCTTGCTCATCTGTGAGGTATTCTTTTGTCTTTCTTAGCAATGCCCAGGGGCTACACTTCCAAGCAATAGTCGACTTACTCCGGGACCAGGCATCATTTGTGTCACTTGCGTCAAGTCGACCTGGTAGTGATTTTGCTTGTAGCTGAGACGGTCCTTGTTCCGGTCAGGGAACTTATCTGCGTGACCTACAGCCACGCTTTCCAATTCCTCAAGGGAGCCGTCCCACGGCATTTCGAGGTTGATGCTCAGGCGACAGTCGAGTGGGCATGTGGGAAGATGTAAGTGGATATCTGCTACGCGGGCCTTGACAATCATGGCCAGGACCTGCTGCGTCTTTTGGTCATGTGTGACTCGAACCTTGATTGAACGCCTGTTACCTAGGAGGGAACGGACGCAACCAGGGAGACGGGCCTGCAGAGCATTTGGCAGCTCGTAGAACTTGTCAATCTCTCGTCGATGTTTGTATTGTACTTGTACTCGGCCGCGTGCGTTGGGGTTTCGGGGATCTGTCTGCACAACCAAAGTGTTGAGGAATTCATTGAGACCTTTGTGCTGAGCCTGCAGAGAAACAATGAGATTAGCCTTCGTGATTCATTTCCAAGGAAGATCAACAAACAAACCTCGGTCATGCTGCTTCTGAAAGCCAGGCGCCCAGTGTCGTGCAGAACACATTCCGAGCCTATCGCCCTCTCGACACGATCATTAGTATCTCTGTCGATGAGCTGTCCCATCTTGGCCTCAATTTCGAACTGCACACCACGTCCTATTATCTCCCCACTGTCGGGATGGAGTGTGACGTTTTTGAACAAGAAATCGGCGATCGTCTTGGACAACTCTTCGTAAGGTCGATTACCAAGAATGCTTTCCTCCCAAGGGCCAAGCAAACCTTCGGTCTTGGGCGGCGGCGGCGGCGGCGGTTCCTGAACTGGAGGAGCGGTGGACCGCGTTGCCTCTGGTGAGGTGTGGCGGCTGGTACTATCCTGCTTGACAGACTCGGACTTGCCATTGATGTGCGGCGGTCCTCGTTTCTGGAGCTCGAAATTGGCCAGCTTGAGCCTCTTATTTTCTCGAGCATTCCAAGTCTGAGCCCAGATGGGGGGTGTCGCGTGAATCTTCCTCTTTCGTTGCATCACCGGCGACCTAGAGATGGCAGGTCCACCATTGAGCTCGGCAGGCGGTGGTCGTGGCTCCTTCCTTTCCAATTCTCGGGGACTCAAGTCTCGGTCGGCAAGTTTTCTCTTGGCGGGTGTCGCAGCGCGTTCGCGTTCAGGTTCCACCATGTTGGTGACGCTTGGGTGCGGTCGCACTTCGGGTTCTGTCTGCCCACTAATGCTGCTCGGCAAACTCGGTATTCTCGTCTTGGGACTGACGCTGATGCTTCGGTCGCGTTCACTATGTGATAATGATCTTCGTTCGTGGGTGCTATGGGAGGAGCTGGGCATGCGGACTGGTGGAGGTGGTGGTGGAGGTGTGGCTTGGGCGAGGTGTGAGGCGGACAGTCTCTGTTGATACGGGCTTTGTGGTTGTGTAAAGCTTGGTGCAGTAGAAGATTGTCGAGGCCCGGTCTGGGGCGGGCCCAGTGGGGTCGGAGGCTGCGAGAGCTGCCGATTGAAATCGGGCGGCGGATGCGCCGTCGCCACAGGACTACCGTGAAGGGGATATGGCTGGCCGTGATGCTGCTGCTGCTGCGGATGCTGACTATGGGCAGATGTAGGTGTAGGAGTTGAATGGGTTGATTGTGAGCGCTGATGGAGATATGGATGCCCACCAACAGGGGTCCCAATGGGCGGTGTCTGAGGTATATGTTGCTGCGATGGCGGCGGTTGCTGCTGTTGAGCATACTGAGGCGCCGTTGCACCAGATGGATGAGGGTAGCCATCTCTCGGGGGGAACGCGTTGGACGGTGGATATTGTTGGTGTCGTTGCACAGGGCTGGCAGCTTCCTGAGGCGGGCCGGTCGGCGGGAAGGGGTAACCTCCACTTGGACCGCTCACGGAAGATGTCGGCGTATGGCGATACGGAGACGGGCCTGGCATTGAGGCATTCTGGGGTGATCGCGCATCGGCGTAAGGGGCGGGAGCACCAGCTTGAAGTGGCGGCGGCGCTGGCCGGCCAGGGCCGGGATACGGGCCTGGAGTCTGATAAGGCGACTGCGGAGGGTACGATGGGGTCGTGGCCTGAGGATGTACAGCGTATTCCTGAGGTGCTGGCGGCTTGCCAGGGGATGAATGCAATGCGTGACTGTACGCCGATTCTCTAAAGGCATAAGCCGTCGTGGCCTGGGAAGGTGTCGTGGGGGCCTGTTGCTGGTATGGTAGCTGAGGTGGCGGTTGTTGAGGCGGCGGTTGTTGCTGTAGTTGGTGGTGCTGCTGCTGCTGCTGCGGATGATGCTGATGCTTCGGCGCGAGATGTTGAGGAGGAGCGTGAGGATGCTGCTGGTGACCATGGGCGTGGGCATGCGCAGGATGGCCCGGAGGAGGGCCACCAGCAGCGGCAGCGGCCGCGGCAGCAGCACGCGGCCTGTTCCCCCCGTCATCGGACGTGTTCATCAAGGCTCTTAGGTCCATTGTGTGTAGCGAAGGCAAGGCGTGCCGTGGGTGTTGTGGGCTAGAATCCCTTGCTCGCGTTCCTTTGTCTGGAGCAGCGCTCCGTCCAGCTTCAGCTTAGATGCACAATATTTGGCTTCGGCCCCTCAAATACAGCGGTTCATGTGTGCGACGAGGAAACGGCTGGAAAAAGGAGAGGCGATGGCGGTCGGATGAGATTTGCAGATTCAGCGCGATTCTAACGAGACGGAATGGATGCGCAAGAGGCATTCATCACGCCGTTGTATTTCAGTGGTGAGTCAGGTCGAGAAGATGGCAAAGGTCGGTTTCGGGTTCGTCGTGGATGTCGGGATTCGGAGAGACGGAAAGGACTGCAGTTCAGAGATAGCTCCAACCGAGGACAGCAAGGTATGCGCTGGGCGTGAAGGGTAGAGAGACGTGGGAGCGCAAAGGCGACGAATTCGAGGTCGAGGTCGAGGTCGAGGGCGAGGTTTGAGCGAGAGGGGTCGTTTGTCGTTTGCTCGAATCGACGTGGATGGTTGATTGGTGGTAAGTAGGTATCGGAGACGGCGGACTGGTAGTGTGGTTGGAATCGCCGTCGCGAGTTGGTCGTCGTAATCGTAAGGAATCGGGTGGAGGATTTGAACGACGCGGACGTGGTTGGAGGGAGCTGAGAAGAGCTGTGTGGGCGGATGCGATTGAAGATGCGCGCCTGGGGGTGGGTTGGAGAGGGTGTCGCAAAGTGCGAATGGATGCTTTGGTGTTTTGAGTGGCCGGGTGCGGGTGCGGGTGTGTGTGCAGCCTTGTTGCGTGGATGCGCTCTGGGGTGTTGGTGGTGGTGGTGGTGGTGGTGGTGGTGTGCAGAGATGAAGCGGGCGGATTGGAGATTAGGGAAGATATCTCAGCAAGAAAACATCTTGTCCTCTCCTGTTGGGTTTGAACTTGGCGTTGCGGCAGTGGCTCGGAGAAGTTCTGTACTCCGGCAGGACTTTGAGTCTTGAGATAGTAAGGTAGGAAGGCAAGGTACCTCGTAGTCAGGTATTATAATAGTGAGGTAAGGTAAGGTAGCGTGCTCGAGCGAGAGCGTGAGAGACAGAGAAGGGGACAGACAGAGAGAGGAAGCGTGAGGTGTGTGTGAGACAGATGGCGACAGGCGTGTGGGAAATTTGGAGACGAAAAGAAAGGATGGAAATGGATTGGTCGCGCCGATCGTAGGTCAGGCTGGGCCCCCAGTGGTTTGGCTCTTTGGCACTGAGAACGGGCTCGCTCCCGTCCACGACCACGTACGGATGAATATCTCACTGTGTAGGTAATGGTCAAGGCATAGATAGACAAGCATTGATAGATGAGTGGTACTATGGATGCTGCCTGGTTCAAGGTAGCATCTGTAGCTGCAACATATCAATTGCAAATATTATCCGCAAGATGCTGGCTATGTACGTACTACGGTACGGCTAGGCAATGTACTTTTCAGAGGAGAATTTGGTGGGGAGCTACAACCAGTGCAAGCAGGCTGTACAAGCAGGCTGTCTAGGTAAGGTAGGTAATTAAGTAGCTAGGAGCTTCAAACAGAGAGCTTGAAGCTGAAGCTGACAGGACACCTCAGCTAAGGTATTGGAGCAAACCTAGCATAAGCTGGACGAGCAAGTGGACAGCCTTGTCAGAAACTACCTTACCTTGCTCCGTCCAGAAGTAACCAACGGACAGGGCAAGCCACAAATGGTGTACGGAGTACGCAGTAGGTATCCGTAGAAGGCAAAAGCCACGGCCACGGTGCGCTGGTCGAGCCCGGCCTCACAACCTGGCCTGGCGGCCCTGGGCCATCGATATGTCGACCTGTCGGAGATTTTTATTTTATTTTCTGTCCTCCCTCCAATCTGGAAATGACAAACTTGTCCTCCCCCCCTGTCTAGGTCTTTTGGCCGGCCACGGTGCTGCACTCCCGGGCCCCGGCTCCACCTTCTGTTGTCTTCCATTGCTGGAATGCAACGGTGGAGGAGACCGAGATGAGGTGACCGCCGGGGGAGAAAGTGATGATCCGGATCCAAGGTACAAAGTACCTTAGTCCGGCACGTGAGGTGCTTGGCTAGGCAGCTCAGCTTACCTCAGCACCATAGCTTACGGGCACGGTGACGGGATAAGGTACACGCGACCAGTTGAACGCAAACAGACAGAGAAATCCCGGGTGCGGCTTCAACCTTCAACTTGCTTAGCTAAGGCAGAGCAAAGATTTGCTGACTCATCATACCCTGTGGTCCCGCAACTCAAGGAAAAGATACGTACCTCGAGACAAGGCGAGGCAGGCAGACTTGCCTGACGTGGATGCGTTCCCTTCCCTTGCCTTACCTTAGCAGTGCGTAGCGTCGTGTGCCCTGGACTCTGGCTGCATTCGCGCCTTTGCTTTCGACGTCCTTCTCTCCATCATCAACGCTTCCTTCGGAGCTCTCATCACCACCAACCCCGAATCCAATTCCATCCCACCACTTCGCTCCGTGCGACACCATCCTATCCATCCCGGCCGCACATTATTCAAATCATCTCCGTCGCCCATCATCGTACCCCGCAGCTCTCTTCAGCTCCGTCTTCCCGGCCACTTCCCACAATGCCTGGCCTGGTCTCAGCTACCGGAGTCCTGGGCTTCCTGGCCGATGAGGAGCCAGATCTCAAGGTCTTCGCCCTCCAGACTCTTAACGATGACATTGACACTGTCTGGACTGAGGTCGCTGGTGCTCTGAGTCAAATGTAAGCTCTCTTCCCTCCTCGCCACGTTCCGGCTACTTGCCTTTATTGGGATGTTATTGACCACCTTGACGCAGTGAGGCTCTCTACGAAGACGACTCCTTCCCTCAACGACAGCTCGCGGCTCTCGTTCTCGCAAAGGTCTACTACCATCTTCAGGCCTACAATGAGAGTATGACATTTGCTCTCGCCGCTGGCGATCTCTTTAAGCTCGACGCTCCCGGCGAATTCGAGGATACCATTATCTCAAAGTGCATCGATCAGTACATTGCTGCTTCTTCCGCAAAGCACACTGCTCCCGAGTCACCCCAGAACGATACCTCACTCCCCGCTCTGGCTACAACTTTTGCCAGCGGTGCTGCTGATGGATCCGCCCTGATCTCTCCCACAACGCCATTCTCCCAGACGACCCTCCCCTCCAAGTCTCTCCTCTCCCGTGTTTCGACCGATAACACCATCCTCGATCCCACATTCCAGCCCGTCAAGGAAGGCCGCTCCGCATCCGTCGCCCCCATCAATGATCAGGCGACTCAGATTGCCCTGCAGCGTATCATCGAGCGTCTGTTCGAGGCTTGTCTCAAGGATGGCAGATATCGCCAGGTCATTGGTATCGCCGTTGAGGCCAAGAACTTGGAGGTTCTGCGCCGTGTCATCAAGCGCGCCGCTGATGACGAGAAGCGTTCAAAGTCAAAGTCGACGGACGGTCAGGGCCCCGCCGAGGAGCTCATGGAGTATGCCTTGGGCATCTGCATGGACGTTGTCCAGGAGCGAAGCTTCCGCACCGAGATCCTGCGCTTGATCCTTGACCTCCTTAACGACATCCCGAACCCCGACTACTTCGCCATCGCCAAGTGCGTTGTTTACCTGAGCTCTGATGAGGAGGCTTCGCACATGCTGAAGCAGCTGATCACGAGCGGCGACCGGAACTCGGTCGCCAGTGCCTACCAGATCGCTTTTGATTTGTACGACAACGGCACCCAGGAGTTCTTGGGCAAGATTATCAGCTCGCTGCCTTCAGGAGAGCCTACTAAGACTGCAGAGAGCGACACCACCGAGGAGGAACCGTTGATCGAGAACCAGGAGTCCTCGGAGGAGGAATTGTCGGAGGAGCTCTCCAAGGTTTACAAGAACATTCGGGCAATCTTGGACGGCAGCAAGACAATTCAGTTGAACCTCGAGTTCCTCTACCGCAACAACCGCACCGACCTGAGCATTCTGAACAAAGTTCGGGATAGCTTGGAGGGTCGCAACTCCATCTTCCACACAGCCGTCACCTTCTGCAACGCTTTCATGAACCAGGGCACCACTAACGACAAGTTTTTCCGCGACAACCTCGAATGGCTTGGAAAGGCCGTCAACTGGTCCAAGTTCACCGCAACCGCAGCTTTGGGTGTCATCCACCGCGGCAACCTGACGCAGTCCCGCAAGCTGCTCGAGCCCTACCTCCCTCGCCAGAGCGGCTTGAGCAGCGGTTCCATCTTTAGCCAGGGTGGTGCTCTCTACGCCTACGGTCTGATCCACGCCAACCACGGCGCCGACGCTCTCGACTATCTCAAGACTCAGTTCACATCCGCTGAGGAGGAGGTCATCCAGCACGGTGGTGCTTTGGGTCTGGGTATTGCAGGCATGGCAACTGGCTCCGAGGAGATCTTCGAGAACCTGCGCACGGTTCTCTTCACCGATTCTGCTCTCAACGGCGAGGCTGTTGGCCTTGCCATGGGTCTCATTATGCTCGGCACCGGCAACGTGCGGGCTTTGGAGGACATGATTACTTACGCCCACGAGACAACCCACGAAAAGATTGTTCGTGGTCTCGCTATTGGTATGGCGTTGATCATGTTCGGCCGCCAAGAGGGTGCCGACGCCATGATCGAGGGTCTGCTCAACGATCCTGATCCTACCTTGAGATATGGTGGCATTATGACTGTTGCTCTCGCCTACTGCGGTACAGGCAGCAACAAGGCCATTCGTAAACTGCTCCACACTGCCGTTAGCGATGTTAACGACGATGTACGCCGTGTCGCCGTCATGAGCTTGGGCTTCATTCTCTTCCGTAAGCCCGGCAGCGTCCCTCGCATGGTCGAGTTGCTCTCCGAGTCGTACAACCCTCACGTGCGTTACGGATCTGCCATGGCGCTGGGCATTTCTTGTGCTGGTACCGGTCTGGATGAGGCCATCGACTTGCTCGAGCCCATGATGAAGGATCCTACCGACTTTGTCCGTCAGGGTGCGCTCATCTCTCTGGCCATGATCATGATCCAGCAGAACGAGGTCATGAACCCCAAGGTCGCTTCTATCCGCAAAACTCTGAAGAAGGTTGTCGGCGATCGCCACGAGGACGCCATGACCAAGTTCGGCGCGTCGCTTGCGCTGGGCATTATCGACGCGGGTGGTCGCAACTGCACCATTGGCCTCCAAACCCAGACCGGAAACCTCAACATGGCCGGCATCGTCGGTATGGCCGTCTTCACCCAGTACTGGTACTGGTTCCCGTTCACCCACTTCCTTTCGCTCGCTTTCTCGCCCACCTCCATCATTGGTCTCGACCACGAACTCGAGATCCCTAACTTCAAGTTCCACTGTGCCACCCGTCCCAGCCTGTTCGACTACCCGCCAGAGCAAGAGGTTAAGGCTGAGGAGGGCCCTACTATGGTCGCAACAGCCGTCTTATCAACAACTGCCCAGGCCAAGCGCAGAGCTCAGAAGAAGGAGCGTGCTCAGCGTCGCGAGAGCATGGACATTGACTCTGCTAAGCCAACAGTCTCTGACAAGATGGACGTGGACGAGAAGAAGGAAGAGATCAAGGAGAAGAAGGAAGGTGAGGCAGGCGAGAAGGAGGCATCTGTAGCTCCGGCCGATACAAAGAAGAAGGCAGAAAAGGAGAAGGTCGGTTACGACATGGAAAACTTGTCGCGTGTGCTTCCGGGCCAGCTCAAGTTCATCAGCTTCCCCGCCGGACGTTACAAGCCGGTTAAGAAGGTAGAGTAGTTTCCAACCCCCTGACTGCAAGATGTTTTACTGACTCTCAATCAGCCTACCGGAGGACCTCTGCTTCTGCAGGACACGCAGCCTGATGAGGAGAAGACACTCATCGAAGAGAAGTTGAAGAAGGTGACAACAGAAAAGGCCCCGGTGGCTGGCCAGAGCAATGCCGGCGGATCATCTGCAGGCTTGACGCCACGTCAACAGCAAAACATCATCTCTCAGGCCCTTAGAGCCAGTGCTGGTGGTGACCTTCGCTCGCTGAACGAGCTTAGCGAGCTCTTGGGTCGACAAAGAAGAGGTGATCTCGTGGGCGCAACTGACGAAGGAGGGGCGGCGGCTGCTGCAGGAGTGCTCACGGCAGTTGATGAGGATGGCGAGGGAGACGAAGAGGCAGACGTTCCGCGAGAGTTTGAATACTTCACGGACAACGAGGAGGAAGATGACGAGGAGTAGCCATTCTCGCAAGACAACCACCATTATTTGTGACTCAATTTTTGAGACCGCAGTGGTGTTTAGAGCATAGAAGAGAGATGGCGTAAAGGTAGTTGACTGCCATTCTGCCAAGGACAGTCGGGGGCAAAAAAGACTCTGCCAGGCTGTACAATAGTGTAACAATCGAGTTATTCAGAGGTTACTCCTTATACGCACTTAAACCCGTGGACTTGACGCTCGATGCGACAAAGTGACCACGGCCAATGTTTGAATGAATCTTGACGTCTCGAAGTTGAGTATCAACAAATTAGTAAAGCCAATGAGTGCCAGTCTCCAGTCTTGACAGTAAGCTGTAGAGGTGTAGCAGTGTTTTCGCACATGGCGCTTCGGCTTTCCTAAAAATGCAGACAACAGCAACGCAGACGACTCGCGGAAAACCTTGTGGAGAACCCCACGCTTCCCCTCTTACATCGTCAAGCTGGAGAGTACTTGACAGTGACACTGTGACTTGGTACGTTTCCTTTCCAGTTTACGTACGAAGCTAGCCCGCTTCTTCTGCCGTGAAGGCACAGCTAAGCTGACAGCTGTCTGCAAATTTCTGGTGGTCACGCAGGGAGACGCGTTGTAGGTGCGCTTGCATTTCCCCATTTCCCCGTTTCCCTGTATCGGAAGATCAGGAGCGGTGCATGGAACACCTCACGATCTCTTCTGATGGCATATACGTTGTCCGCGGCCCCTTATTCGAGGTTCACGCTTCGTATACCATACAAAGGTCCTCCCTCCCGCAACACCATGGGGAGAGGAATGCGGGGTGTCCGGTCTTCCTCCGAGCTCCCCTTACCTTGCCTTGCCTTAGCTAAGAGAGACCAAAAGACCCTCCCACCTCAAGGTACTCGCTCTCCCGCGTACTCTAGCCTCCAATCCAAGTGGTCCATGTCCATAGCTGAAGCCGGCGGGAGAGAGAAATCTCGCTGTACTTGAAGAAGTCCTCAACATCTTCTGCCTGCCCCGCGATTCCTTCTCAACACATCGTCTCTTTAAAAATCACGTCAATTGAGCCGACTGCCTTGTGTAAAAGTGATACCTGTATTCTGAATTGCCTTCCAGCTTTGGGAGTTTTCTTCAATCCACTGCCACTTCGTTACCATAGCACATTGCCTTGCATTGATACTGCCCACACGCAGCTATTACTACCCGTCATGGCCCAATCCAACGCCCTTTTGGACACGTTGAGAACCGTGAGCCAGGTCGACTGTGATACTCTCGACGTTGAAGGTAAGAGCCTGCCTTGATGACCCAATGCATTCTGTTCTGATCTTGCTTTAGTTGCCAAGGAGCTGGGTCCTTTTGTCGACCACACCTCCAACCAGGCTATCGCCTATGGCGAGCTCACCAAGACCACCGCAGATGGCAAACTGTACCACGAGCAGCTCATCCGGGACTCTGTAAAGGATGCCCAGGGCTGGGCCCATGCGGCCTGGCCAGACATTGACCCGATTCTTCTCGCAGTCGAGATTATGGTACCTTGGCATGGCGAAACTCGCGAAACTCTTGAGAACGACGTTCACCTTCGCTAACACGTCTATAGATGGTCAGACTTTCACTCAAGTTCATTCCGTACTTGACAGGATATTTCCACATTCAAACCAACACAGACTGGGCTTATTCGGTCGAGAAAACTGTGAAAAATGCCGAGAGTATGTTGCCAAACAGGGCTTGTGATGGTCAAAACTGATCGCGCTGCTCTGCTCTGCAGGAATTGTTGAGACCTTCAAGAAGCTTGAGCCTAGTTTCGACGCGAAGCGTGTCTGTATCAAGATCCCGTCCACTTACGAGGGCATTGCCGCCTGCAGAATCCTCGAGAACAAAGGGATCGCAACACTGGCGACAACCATGTTTTGCATGGAGCAGGCGGCCCTGGCTGCCGATGCCGGCTGCACTTACATTGCGCCGTATGTGAACGAGCTAAAGGTTCACTTCATCCCTGGGTAAGAGTCATCCCAAATACAATTCGGACACTGCGAATCGAGCCGATTCGAATGACTGACGCTTGTGTGCCCTTAGTTACGTGGACGAGAACAAGGCCTTCAACTTCTGCAGACAGGCGCAGGCATACTATGTCGAGACGAAGGCCAAGACCCAGGTTCTGGCAGCCAGTCTGACCACCGTGCCCGAGGTGATGCAATTGGCCGGCATCCAGCACGTCACCGTCTCGCCACCGCTCCTCCGGGCTCTTGCGGCAGCGCCGTCCTCAAGTTGGACGGAAAAGGTCGGTGGCTACTTCGCAGACGGGCCAGACGAGCGATGGGTCAAGGACTTCCAGGCTGCTCTAAGAGACGAGAGCGAGTGGCGGTTTGCTTTTACTCGTAGCGGTAACGGCAGGTATGAGGAGAAGCTCATCCAGGCCATCAATATCTTTTCCGAGAAGCAGCAGAGCCTGGAGGAGCTGGCGCGGAGCTACTTGTAAATGAACACCTGCTAACTATAGAGTTACCGTTTGCAAGTTCAAGGCGTGGACAGGGCGATCATGAATGGAGAAAATTTTCAATCCCGACTTTTTGAGTATTGCGGTAATTAATTCGATGCTGCCTCCTATTGATAATTACTTGAACTTAACAAACATTCGTCCTGCCTTACCCGTCCTCCTTCTTGTTCCTCGCTGGATATCAAACAAAACCCTCCCTACGCCATCACCAATGTCCTCCCCTTCCTGGTGCTTGCTGCATATATGAAGCAAAGTCAGTGCCGGCGAAAGGAGACGCTGGCACTTCCCTCACATCAGCATTTGGCCTAGAGTCGTCGAACACCCGGCGCCGAGAACGGAGCGCTTCCTTTCCAACCCAGCTCAGATAGACGGTCTCATGGACCTGTATGAGATCGGTCCCGACGCCGGCCTCAGAGCCCCAGCTGCTTCCTTGTGCCGGTTCGAACTCGGGCTTCTTCTCCACGACAAACACTCTATGGTCCTTCCTCTCGATATAGCGAGCGACAAGAACGAAGCCAATGAACCATGCAACGCCTAGAGTGATGATGATCCATGAGACCGTAGGAATCAGCCACCACGGATTCAGCTGTGTAGATAGTTGTTTCGAAGGTTTAACCCAGTTAGTGATCACCGGGAAAAGCCCGCCGCACATGTATACGAAGGCGCAGAAGACGGACAGGAAGGGACGGAAACGCTTTCCAGTCATCTCGGCCCAAGTCAGCGGCGGCGGTGGCGTGTCCTTTCCGAACGTCGAAGCGTCATCGTCGGTAAGGGTAGTCGGAGGTCCGCGGAAGCGCAGGATGAGAATGCCCAACCCTAGGAAAGTCCCGATGAAAGCGTTGATGACGTAGGCACTTAGGGATGTTAGCAAGGTGTAGGCGGCTGTTGGTTCCATCTTGTAGGTTGCAAAGATCAGGATAGTACAGCTGACGAAATGGAGAAGCAAGGCGCCGACGGGAGTTTTCTCGCTATGGTGCTCTGGCGAAAGCCATTTCAGTCGGAGAACCGATGAGAACCATCCCTTCCTCTGGAACCAGCGCAGTACCCGGCCGATGCTCATATCTGTATTCTGTGCGAAGAACTTGGGCCACGGAAGCATTCCCTAGTCGGTATAAATCTTGGCTTTTTTTGTGCATTACATTTTGAGGCTTCACTTACCTCTTTGGCAATCTCCTGCTTCACTCTAGCAGCTGTGTATGTCTGTGAGAATGTCAGCGGCCATGTCGTCTACCATGAACAGAGTTGAATGACCATGACGATGATGTTTCCCAAAGATGAGATGGCAAGAAACGCGTTGAAGATCCGAGCCCCGAGGTCGCTTTCCGGTTCAAGGGTCTGGAATGTGAGTTCGAAGAATTTTTGAGCAACATTCGCGTTGATCTGGTCATCCTTTGGGACGACTACCATCTATCTCGATATCAGAAGAAGCACCGTTTTACTTGAAAGAGCTACGCGACTCAACTTACATAGCAAATGTTTACAACAAGGTAAAGCGTCACAACGGTACCAACACCGGCACCCATGGCGACTGGAAACTTCTTCTTGGGCCTGCTAATCTCCCCAAGGACATAGTTGGGTTGCTCGAAGCCAGAAAAGCTGAAGATGATGGCGAGAAACGCTTGGGCGTAGCTGTTGGCTTCGTTTGACGCATTCTTGAAGGAGGTCTCGGGCGAAGTGTTTTTGTCGAAAACGTTATTGGCGCCTGGGAATCCTTTTGTAGCTACGACGATCGTCGCCACAATGATAAGAAGCATAATCAAAATTTTGACAACCGCAAGGATGTTGTTGAGCAGGATTCCCCCACGTCGGGAGAAAGCATGAATCCCACAAGAGAATGTAGCAACCGCAAGAGCGATGCCGCGAACAGGACCATTCTCTGGTTTTACGTCGGCGGCTTCGAGAAGTCGGATGGCAAAGTGAATGCTATTGCCAGCCATGTTTCCTAGAACAATGAAGCTGATGCCGAATATACAAGTCGACAAGAGTAACGTGTTCTTTCGGTATGCTGGCTTGCGGAAAACGTATTGTAGATAGACGAGATCACCACCGCTTCGTGGTACGCTTTGATCCTGCCCGTTTATCAGGTATCTGGGCACGTTCAAGCCGTACTCAATGTACACATGAGTCCCGCAAAGACAATATATTATACCGGCCAACCAGAGGAGGAGAGTTGCACCGACACTTTTAGTGCCTTTCATTACTCTTTGCGGGGACATGAAGATACCGGTTCCTGAATACACCATCTAGTTTAGCACTCTATTGGCCCATACCAGAAGCTGCAGACGAGTTGTTGCCCACGGTGATTACTTTCCCGTGACATTTCCGATAGCAACCTCGAGACAAGATATCAAACCCAGGATGAGGGGGAAGGAGAGATAGCATAGTGAACAGAGTGCCCGCATGTACATATATTTCAAATAATACCCCGATAGAGAGGATTAAGGGCCGGAGTGAATCAAACATCTCGGTGCTGAAAGATTTCTGCATCAACGGGTAAATAATCAAGCCACTCACCAATCATACGGTTGATGACTAGACAAGCTACGTCGAAATATCCCAGTCGAAAGCCCTCTTTCGGGGCATGCGTGACGATGCCATTGCCGTCACTAATGGTATCAATCACCTCGTCAATATCACTGTGTACTGAAGCCTCTTCGGCACTCCGTGGCTCTTGATAGAAACCAACGGAGCTGGGAAAGTCGTTCATCTTTGAAGATGTGTTGGTCAGGAAGGATGCAAGTGGTGAGTCCGAGCCTTACGATCGCTCCGCAGCAGGAGATCAACGCGATATCCGTATCTCTTGCTGTCCTAAGATACATAGCAAACAAGGCCACCATGGGTGTCTTCATATTATGTATGGCACACTTCTATCGGCTCGCGGGTGTGTGTAACGAGCTGCTGCTGGCATGCACGTCGGGCGTAATCTAGAAACAGCACGCAATTGGGGCGCGCACCACAGAGCGGACAGGCAGGCAGACTCGGCCATGGGTTAACAATGGCTCGCATGCATGCCGAGGCAGCCACTATCTAAGACGAGGGCTGGTCATGTCGCTCGCGTCTCGACAGCCTCGTCCAGAAATATGCCTTGCAAGGCATGTCTGAGGCCATTTCTTTCTTTGCGCGCATTTTGGGCACATGGAGTCTCAAAAACGCATTACAAACTTACCAAGACTCTAGCGTCTGCAGGCAACTGTCAAGCTGTACGCGATCTAGTAGATGGTTTACGGATAGTCTCAGCCGTCGAGTGATCATAGGCCTGGCGAAGCGAGCACGAATAGGAAGAGTCCCGGGAAGACTCAAGGTGACACCCCGTCTGACCCATACCCAGAGGTTGGCACGTTGGGAAGTTGTCCAACTTCGAAGCCTTCAATCTGTTCAGCTCACTGCCACCGCCACATGCATTTCACACATGGGCTGAGTGTCGATCATCGTTTCAAGTAAAGGGTATATAAGCGTATTCACCTGAAAGCACCATCAGAAATTCTTTCAAGCGCAGCGATTGCTGGCCCCAACTGATGTTCGCGAAGGTTGCTCCCATCGTACTCTGGCCACGACAGTAGGTGCAATGTAACCAGACATTTTAGCATTCGGGCTTGGCAGTGAAAGTGCCAGCAACTTAAGATCGATGGGGTTTGTAACCGAATACCTGTATCATCATCGTCAGAAGGGGCAGCCAGCTCTCAAAAGACGACAAACCCCAAGTTTGCATGGGCGATGACTTTAACAAGGACAAGCTTCTGTCCGAATTAGTTCATCCCAATCACTTCACAATGTGGGTGGCATAGCCTCACAGTTCAGTAGCTTATCTTGCAATCTTCCACCTCCGCCGCAGACATGCATACCCACTAGCAGCTGGGGGTGGTCCAGCTATGCAACATAGGACGACGGGATTGGATGTCATCGTAGGGGTGTCTCGGGTAACTGAGACCGCGTGACAGCCGTCCCCCCCCCCCTCCTTTCCCTGAGCAAGACCCCGGGTTCCATGTGTGGAGGAAATCCGCGCATGGGAATAGATTCAGTTTGCTCGTAATGGATAGGTAGTACTTAGGTCAAACGTACATAGCTTCGAAGACACCAAGGAGGGTCTCTGTGACTCACAAATCCGACTCAAGCTGTTATCGCTTGCCCACTGGCAGGCAATAGGCTGCCAAGAGACGACAACCTGAGTTTGTGCTCGGCTGTTCGGTACTGCCACAGTCGACGCGTGCAGACACACACTGCAAGGACGAGAGGCATGCGCCTAAGATGCCAAGCAAGACTGGTTCAGACACCCATACGAGCAGAGAGAAGGCAGAGGAGGTCGTTTTCCCTGCTGCCTGCATGGATGCCCACACCATCCCTTCTCTCTCGGTATCGATGTAAAGCTGTCTGGGCCGGCGAACTCAGACTTGGGTTGGTCTAGGGCAACAAATACAGATATGCTCATGCTGTCCCTGGGTACTGGACTCACTATCTTTCTCTGCGCCCGCCTTCTGTGCCTCTTTCGCTGTCCGGCTGGGTAGGCTGTCGCTGCTTCCACTTGTGCTTATTCCGCATGCTCGCTCCTAGTCCTCCTGCCCACCCCTGCGTTCCTTGGGGCGGCTCGCTCTCATCTCTGTGACATGTCCACGTCTTGGTGGCGTCTATTGGGACTCTGTCGTGTGCTCCCACCCTGCGGTCAGGCTTTACTTCAAATCTGCCTTCGTTCCCCTCACCTACTTCGCTTCTCAGCCCTCCTGGTGAAGCCCGCTTTTGGGAATTTCCATTAGTCGTCTTCCTCACACGCATTGACACCATCGTCCCTTCAATGCCAATCATCTTATAAGGCGCATTTGGCAGAAGAATTACCTGTCCCTTGCCTCGTTAACCTCAATGGCAGGGCCAATCCAGCTGGGGGATGTCATCAACTTCAGCAAGCTCGCGTGGGACGTGTACAAGTTTGGTTGGGATAATGACTTCAATGCCAGTGAGTTCCTCGGTGCAGGGAAGGCCACTTTCTGAGGCTGCCACTCTCATCATCATGACGTTCTTTACATGTAGAGCTCTATTTGAAAATGTGTATCTGGGTTTTCCTTGGACACTGTTGGCGCCCTATAACAGAAGCCATAACTCAACTCAAGGAAGCCTGTAACTCCAGATGCCAGCACTGACTTACGGTGATTGCAGCCCGGCAATACGCAGAGTTTGGTCGCGATGTCAGGGGATTGGCTGAGAACCTCGATATCCTCAGCCGCGTAGTAGACAAGGCCGACCAGTCACTCCACCAAGAAAGGACGTTCAAGCTTGAGCCATTACGCTGGGACCGTTCGTCCCTCGACGAGATCATAGGCGACTACCATGAGACTCTCACAGAATGCTGTACTCTAATAGAGAACAATCATCGCTATCGCCTCAGCAGCGGCCCGCTGAGGAATATCGAGTGGAATGTCCTCGTGGCGCCGGCGGCAGATCGTCTGCGGGCGCGCATAGCCTTACATAATTCCAAGGTTATTCATGTTCTGAAGCCGTTTGAGATGTGAGAATCCATATCTTCGCTACCAGTCGGTTTGGAGCACTAACCGCACCAGTGACCTTCTTTGTCGGATCCATGAAGACCTCGCCGGACGTATGAGTGCTATGCACCTTGACTTACGCCGCTTTATGGGGGTTCTCGTGCCTGATATGGAGCAGGCTCTCGCCCAGCAGGCTCACCGGGAACCTTTTCAGTTTGAAGTGCCGCCAAATGTCGAGGATGGATTTCAGCGAGCATGGGCGGCTGACAGACCGGATGACGCTCTCGAACCAAGTCTTCAGGAGATGGCGGATGCTTTCGTTCTTCATTACCACAAATCCACCATAGGATTTACTGCCGGTATCCTGGTGGAAAATAGGGTTCCCGAGTCGGGGCAATATATCAATCTTTTGAAGTGCGTCTGGCTGATGAGACGGATCCGTGGTTCGACCGAACTCGCTCAGCCAGGTCCGACATTATCCCATTGGCCCTCGTACATCCAGGAGCTAGAAGTTGTAAGTCGAGTCTGCAGTCTCATGCTACACTGATTAGGACTGACATGTGCTAGGGCCTTGCGTCGCAATGCGATCGATTCAAGCAAGAGCTCATGCCACCAAGTCTAGCAGGTTCAACACCTGAGATGTTCGAAATATGGCCCGAGAAAGAGCTTGCGCAGCTTGTGGACGTGGTGACCAGGGATGCTCTCATGGAAGAGGTTATGGATGTGTAAGTTTGTTCTAATACCAGGCCTTGACGCAATGTGGGCGGCTACCGATACCAGTTTCGTACCAGACCGTTACAGGGCGCCACTGCCAATGTTGAGAGGAAGCTTCAGCTGCTTCGACGAATGGGAGCCGACGGCAAACGCTTCAGAATAAACATCTCAGGCGTCGAGCTAGGGGGCACGAGTAGGAATGCACGTCGTCAAGGTATAAACTCCCCAGTTAGATAGCATCGAACATTTGTTAACACCCAATAGCTGAGACCATTGATTTCGACATCACGACTGTCATACTAAACCCCCTTTATGCTGTGCCATCTAACTCTGGCGGCGCATGGGACATGATATTGCGCAAGGATGAACGGATTGCCAAGTTGGCATTTACGCAGTTGAAAGATGCTGCCAAGTTCCAACAAGCTGTGACTGGTTTCAAGGCGTTTGATAGTTATTGCCAGTAAGCATAATAGACCCATACGCTAACCAGTGCCAACAACTTACAATACCGATAGATACAAGGCTATGGTTAGCTTTGTCGTGTCTGGGAGAGGAGATCCGATCGTCGAGGGAGCGTGTGTACAGTTGTGGGTTCCAAAGCAACTCAATGGACAACTCGTTACGAACAACGAGGCGACGCTCGAGCAAACCGCATCACCATCCCAGTCAGGGGTATTTTCGCCATCTAGCACAGCATCGAGACAGAGTACTCTCCGCAGCGTATGGAGCACCGCAAATCCATTCACCACGAGCCCTACCGAGACTGTGTCAATGTGGAATAATAGCGGTCCACCAGCTGTAGGCACATCACGGAGTCGTTCGGTGCCAACACCGCCAATAATCACCGGCCCGCTTGGAACTCGGTCTCCCATGATGATACCGAGACGGCCAGTGGGGTCGGGCAGCACGCAGACGACGGCAGGATCACCACCCAGTGCTCATCGGCAGGCAATGTTGTCAACATCGCCTTCAAGCCCTCGGTCTTCATCTCTACTCCCGGGATCGTGGCAGTCAAGGGCACCATCCGTATCAACGGTTAACAGCCGACCCGATCGGACCTTTAGCGTCTCAAGCAATTACTCGACTACGACATCACCCTCAAACAACAGTTCAAGTGGAAGCGACGCGCACACCCTGACCGTAACCATAGGCGGGCACACGACTGGCACTGTCCATAGGCGCCCTTCCAAGCCAATGCTGGTTCTGTTCACGCAGAACATGCAGACAGGAAAGCGAGCATTGGTGACTATCGACATTGACGAAGACACCGATGTCAACCCAGACCGGTGCAACTGCCGCCGATCAGGAAGAGACGGATCGTCATGTCAGATTGCTGCCATTGAGCAGGATCGGGGCAACGCCGAGCTATCGGTGCGAAGATATGAAAGCCGAGACGACGACATGGACTGGAATCTGGCCAAGTTGGCACTGGGGCGGCGAGGGGAGAAGGAGTACGCTGCTGCTGTCTGGAAGGACGTCCGGCGCATCAGCATCATGTTCCCGAGTTCCCAAGACAGGGCAAAGTTCGGAGGCACGCCGAATGTATGCCAGTGCAGTGCGAGAACAGAAGCCGAACTGAGTAAGTGTCTCAAGAATAAACACAAGGGGTTGCTTGGACTGGTCCGGGAATCTGGACGGCAGCAGCTGAACGAATATCATCGGGTACGATTCGGGTCGCAACAGGACGTGGTCCGTGGGATGAGAGACGACTATCGATGACAACTCTTCGAAGACGATTCGATCAAAGGGTAATGTGGTTGAGTTGTACATAAGCGAGTGAGTCGAGGAGGCGCCGAAGTTGGGTATTTTGGCATCTTTGCGGCGCGATTTCGTTCTTTGGTGTTACGGCGTCGATGACAATGATGAAGCGAGCGATGTGGGTGTATGTATCTGGTTGAACGAGTAAGATGGGAGGGATCTGGAAGAGAATATTCGCCAAGTCCTAGAGAAAATGTAGGAGAAAGAGACACCTCGTGGTGCCGTATCCTGAGGAGATGATCATGAAGGAAGCTTCAGCCTTTGTAAGCCTGGACCATCTCTTTTTTTCGTCAACAACTAGTAATAGATAGCTTCACGTGCGTATGAATGAGTGGCATTTCCAGTCAGATATCGCAAGGAGTTTGATAGCTCATTATCCCCTCGACTTACTTAATCAAATCGAAACAAATCAAGTTTTTCGTTATCGAAAACGACAGTTTCGCAAAGTGGAATAGGTAATGGAATAGAGTAGCCGTGAATCCGTGATGGTTCAGCTGTCGGAACCGGAGATAACCTCAGACTTGCTAGCAAGCTTCCTGAGGTCTCTTCGGCGAGACCCTTCATGGGGGCTCTCCCTTGCTGTCGGAGCCCGCCGATGGCAGACAGAAGCTCTCTGGTGTCTCTGCTGTTTCTGGCAGAGAGCGACGCGTTAATTGCAATGCTTCATCCCGACCAGCCGTGCCGAAGAGCTGCATCTCCGAGTTTCGGCAGCAGACTAAGCCAATAAAATCGGCGCTGTGTCGCGGGTGTCGACGCCTCTATCTCCAGGGATTCCCTCCTTGACTCGATTGGGTTGCTTTCTTATCTCTACGGGGACTTGGTGTGCACATCTCTGGGGGGTCTGGGTGGCCTGGTCAGGGCTTATCTTTACGCCAGTCCGGATCTGAGCAGACGGTTTGCTTCTTTGGGGCTCTTGGGGGGGCGGCTCTGGCATGGCGTCCGTCAGAAGTTGTGTCGCGTAAGTGGTGGAGGCTGGCCAAGGGGCGTCAGATGAGTGTGAAGTTGGAGCAAAGCAGCATTGTGTGCTTCTTGAAGTGTTGAAGAGCCTGAGGCTGATGGTGACGAACACTATCCGTAGACAAGGGGAAACCGTTATTCGCGCACGAACCATCTCTAATATCACCCACGAGCGACTCTTATCAAGGCACACCCAAGTTGCCAATTTCTCAATGGCATGATGAACTTCTCTACTGCACCACAGATCGTGCTTGTCTCAACGAATGAGCCGTGGAAAATGCAACTTGATCTGGCCGGCGGCGAGCAGCGGCCGTGGAAGTTCGCGGCGGGACGGAACATTGAGAGTTCATCATCCGCCGAGAAGATGGATGATTATTGAAACAACTGTGCTGAGAGTCGGAACCCCCGCGGAGATCACACAGGGCGAGCCGCTGGCAGTTGAGCTGGTCCATCATCCCGCTCCCTGGCGCCGCACATCGCACTTCGCAGCACGCCGCATCTCTCTATTACTCCGTAGCTCGGTTCTCCCGGGTCCATGTAGGATGTGCCCGAAAGAGCACTCGAAGAATGAAGGCGGGATTCTCCTAGTGTGCCACGCGGGAGCGATGCCGGGGAGTTCCCCCACACTCAGGCCCTCACACACTCCCAAGAAGTCGTCGACGTTGGTTCTGATGGGTGCTCCGGATACTTTGCAGTAGCGCCATTGCTGTTGTTGGGTCGCTGCATCAGACATGATGGAACATGTCACTAGCACGATATCAAGTTGTAGACTACAGTCAGTAGTTGTTTGCTCTCTCTCTCTCTTACTGTCGAGACTTGACATGCCATCTACATCATGTCGAGCTGTGAGTTCAGTAACAGATGAATGTATCTCCAGATGCTCTCTTTCTCTCTGTCTCTGGCCACCCCTTGTTACTGGCAACCCACGTTCTCTCCCTTCGACCCCCATTCATCCAATTCCAGGCTCGTGTCTGGAAACAGCCGGTGTTACTTTGGACTCGACCGTCAATCTTCTGCTAGCCCGGCACCCCGGCCGAGCACGGCACCCTCTCGAGTCTCTCAGCTACGCACCCAGGCGGCGCCCTACGCCAGGGCCGGGCCCGCTCCTCTTGGGTACACAATTTTTTTACTATCGCCAGCCATTCACGTCGTTCCGAGCCGCTTATCCCACTGATAGCGGCTGAAGCTAATTGCTCGATACCATCAACTAAAAGGATCTCACCCATGCAAGCAATGATCGAGTCAGATTGATATATAAAGAGAGATCCACAACCCTGCCTTTTGCTGGTGAATTTCGTGGATACCATCGGGTCAAATTCTTTTGCTTTGCTTTGCTTTGCTTTGCCTTGCCTCACCTTGTCTGCATCGTCGACGAGTCCAACTCCGCCTCTTCCAATCGGAAAGCCGACGTGATCTTGGCCAATTACGGTCCCGCCAGCACTGAGTACCGATTGCACAACGCAAAACGACGGCGACATCATGGATGAAGATCAGGGTCCATCCCAAATTGTCCCTGGGACGGCTCCCAAGCGGACGATGGGAGACCGCCTTCGCAGCACTAAGAACAGATTCTTCACCAAGGACGGCTTGATTGGCGACTACGACTATGCTTTCCTGTTTACCCCGAACTTGCCATTCATGAGCAAAAGTCGCAAGGCCGCTCCCTTCTTTGGCTTGAACGACCGGATGCCTACGCTCTTGGCCATGTTGCTGGGATTTCAGCATGCCCTCGCCATGTTGGCCGGTATCATCACGCCGCCTATCTTACTGAGCGGCGCTGCAGGTGCCAATCTCACTGGGGAGATGCAACAGTACCTTGTCTCAACAGCTCTGATTGTGTCCGGCTTGTTGTCCATGATCCAGATCACCAGATTCCATATCCTGAAGACTCCGTAAGAAGAAGAAACGCATCCCTGCTGTGAGGCATTCAAGCTTATATCTCCATATAGCTATTATATCGGAACCGGCTTGATCTCCGTAGTCGGTATCTCCTTTGCCATTATCCCGGTCGCACAGGGGGCCCTCTCGCAAATGTATGCCAACGGTTTCTGCCCGATGGATGGCGAGGGAAACAAACTCCCGTGCCCTGATGGATACGGCGGTGAGTCTTATTTTTGTGCCTTTCGGCATAAATTGCCCAACTAACAGAGTGAAGCCATCATCGGCTCCAGTGCCCTTTGCGCTCTGATCGAAATCGCCATCTCCTTCATGCCGCCAAAGGTGATGCTTCGCATTTTCCCGCCCATCGTGACTGGCCCGACAGGTAAGCTCCTGCAACGTATGAACCCGTGAGAGAACTCCAGATATCTGACATGTGCTCCCAGTCATGCTCATCGGCATTCACTTGATCGAGACTGGTTTCCAGAACTGGATGGGTGGCTCCGGCCCTTGTGCCAACCCAACTTCCGACTTCTTTGCCCGGTGCCCCAACATCTCCGCGCCTCATGCCCTTCCCTGGGGCTCCGCTGAGTACTTGGGCTTGGGATTCTCCGTCTTTGTCACCATCATTCTCTGCGAGCGATTCGGCGCGCCCATCATGAAATCGACGTCCGTTGTTATTGGTCTCCTCGTAGGTGAGTATCAATCCTGTATCTTTCGCCATGCCATTATGTTCTGTTGCTGACCTGCTCTTAGGATGCATCATCGCCGCTGCGACTGGTTACTTTGACCGCTCCGGCATCGACAATGCCCCTGCCGCCTCTTTCATCTGGGTCCACACTTTTAAGCTCACCCTTTACGGGCCGCTCATCTTGTAAGCTTCAAAAAACCTGGGATAGTCGAGCATGAAGAAGCGAAACTAAACACGTCAACAGGCCTTTGCTAGCCGTATATATCATCTGTGCCACTGAAGCCATTGGAGATATCACAGCCACCTGTGATGTCTCTCGCCTCGAGGTTGAGGGCCGTCTCTTCGAGTCCCGTATCCAGGGCGGTGTCCTCGCCGATGGTATCAACGGCGTTCTTGCGGCTCTGATGACCATCACTCCTATGACAACTGTAAGCTGATGGAACCTGATCAAATCTGAATTATTTGAACTGACCGGAGAAAGTTTGCCCAAAACAATGGAGTCATCGCTCTCACCCGCTGTGCCAACCGCAGCGCCGGCTACTGCTGGTATATTTCCTTCATCCAATTCTATAAAGCTTCTCGGCTAACAGTGTCTTAGCTGTTTCTTCCTCATCATCATGGGCATCTTCGCCAAATTCGCTGCGTCACTGGTCGCTATCCCTTCGTCCGTCCTTGGGGGTATGACCTCGTTCCTCTTCACGGCTGTCGCCGTCTCCGGTATGGCCATCATCACAAAGGGCGTGCCTTTCAACCGACGAAACCGCTTCATCTTGACCGCTGGCCTCACACTCGGCTACGGTGCCACCCTCGTGCCTACTTACTTCGACAACGTCTTTACGTACGCGGGTGACAACCGCGGTCTGAGGGGGTTCCTCGACGCCATCGTACTCATCATGGAGACGGGCTTCGCTATCACGGCCTTCGTCTGCATGTTCCTCAACTTTGTGCTCGACGAGGAGATTGAGGACACAGAGGGCCACGATGTCATCCCCACCACTGGAATCGTCACTCCCAAGGATGTCAACGGCGGAGAGAGTGCGCGTGGAGCTGATTCGGAGGATATCCAGTCTATTGGGCACAATACCAGCGGCAAGCGTGATGAGAAATTGTCTTGAAGCTGAGCATTTTGATATGGCATACTTAGATGGTGCTGCGGTGTTGCGTTAAAAAGCCGAGGTTTTGTGCGTTTGAATGTGTTTTTGGTCATGTATGAAGTATGAATACCCACCCTCACTGTCTTGAATTCATCCCGAGCGATTGTCCTGCAAGTTAAGCATCTTACCGCAACGAGACTTCACTGTTCCCCTTGATTGGAGTATCTGATGACATTGCGCCTGACTACGGGTATTCAACACTGTATAAGTGCGGGGACATTGAGATTTGATGGTTTCCGCATCACGGGTCATCAAGGTAGGTAAGTGGCGATCGAATTGACGCCACAGAAAGCTACTCTTCGGATACATGGAGTCTCATGCAGATGCTGCATCGTCGCCTCAACAACGACACGCTAGGTAGTTTCGGTTAACAGTTGGACCTCCTTCGCACAGGCGGAAGAGCAACATCGACGGTTGATAAGAAGGCCGACGGCAATTGGCCACGCGAATCCCACTCTGGTGCGTCGAACCCCTGCGCTGTTGATCGAGTGCCTGACATCCCTCCATGTCGCCTCGTTATCTTCCTTTCCCCAAAGACCAGGCCATCAGATTCACTTGGTTGACTTGCTTGCCCAAGATAGTCGTTTGAGAACATGGTCGAGTCTCCAACCCCGACCAAGTAATCATTGGCGATATGGCCATGTTATTGTTAGGGTGCAGGATGCGGAGCTGACCCGAGCCAATCCCGCAAATGCAGGTCGTACAAAGAAAGAAAGGTCACATCCGTGTATGGGTTGCTTTGCATAGAGCTGGATGCTTTCGGACTACATAGGTGCGGCCATGTCTCACTGTTCGGCGTGGCTTGGTCTCTTACATTTGTGCACCCACAAGGTCGTTAGCACACCTCAGTTTTCTTGGAAGGTCGTTTAGAATTACAACTTCAATCGAGGGGTCGAAAGGACGAGGGTATCTTTGGTTTACGTGAGGACCCAAAAAGCTCCAACGTTACATGTAAGATGAAGGGCAGCAACATGCAGGAAGCGAGGCGGCGATTTACGTCGATGGAGGCATGGGAGCTTCCCAAGCATCCCAGCGCCATTGCGCCAGAAGGCGTACGAACCAACCCGGACATGGACCCCGTACCGGTGCCGATGCGAACTTGGTCACTATGGACTATACTGGCCTACTGGAGTACTGATCTTATGAACCTCTCGACTCTACAGACCGCCGGGTCCATACTTGCGGTCGGACTCAGCTGGCGGGAGGCGATTCCCATCATGTTTGTCGGAACAACGTGTATCGCAATAGCTATGGTCCTCAATGGAGCTATTGGAAGCCGCCTACATGTCCCCTTTAGTGTCATTGCCACGGGTAGTTTTGGGTTCTATTTGAGGTGTGTGCATACTTCTGGATGGAACAGACTTGATTGAACAAAACCTCACCGCTTGGAGTTGAAGCTGACTCCTCATTTCAGATACTTCGCTATTGTCAGCAGAGCTATCCTTGCTATGTTCTGGCTAGGTGTACAGGTAATGATTTGTACGCATCACTTCAACTGGCTTGCTAACATCAGTCTTCAATACTAGTGCGTCAACGGGAGTGTATGTGTGACAATTATGCTGAGTGCATGGGCTCCTTCTTATGGACGGATACCGAATGCCTTACCTGAGTCGGCTGGCATCACCTCTATGGGAATGTGCTCGTGAGTTCGTTCATGAAGTTGCTGGTTTTATATCGGAGTATGTATTAACAAGCCACCCAGGTTCTTTCTCTTCTGGGTCATTCAACTGCCATTGTTACTCATACACCCTACCAAACTTCGACCACTCTTCTATGTCAAGTTAGTCGCTACTCCAGCTGTGGTTTTAGGGACCCTGGGGTGGGCTGTCAAACAAGCCGGAGGCGGGGGTGATATCTTCAGGTTGCAACCCGAGTTCTCTCCAGGGACTTCCAAGTATGCCTGGCTTTGGCTGAGCTGCATGTCGTCAGTCTCGGGACAGTGGAGCACTATGGCGATCAATATTCCGGACTTCTTGCGTTACAGCAAGTCTAGGAACGCCCAGAACGTCCAACTCATATTTGTCCCTATCGTTTTCACCCTGTGTGGAACTATGGGTATCATCACCACATCGGCCACGAAAGTCTTCCAGGGAGACGGTGACTACCTTTGGAATCCGCTGGATATTGTCGGTCTTTGGTTGGAGTTTGGCTCAGGAGGACGTTGTGCTGCCTTCTTTGGGGCGCTGGCGTGGCTCATTGCCACGATCGGCACCAATGTTACGGCGAACAGCATCAGCGCGGCCAATGACCTGACTGTCATGTTCCCGCGCTATATCAACATTAGAAGAGGCAGTATAGTTGCTGCAGTGATAGGTGCCTGGGTTATTGTGCCGTGGAAGATCCTCGCCAGCGCCGCTACGTTCTTGAACTTCATGGGGGCATATGCCGTCTTCCTAGCCCCTCTGAGCGGCATCATGGCCGCAGACTTTTGGCTCGTCAAGAAACAACGATACGACCTGCCCGGTATGTGACAATCTCTTGCTTGAGCCACTTTTACTGACACTCTGTCTTCGCCCTAGATTTATACGACCCTTATGGCCGCTATAGATACATCGCGGGTTGTAACTGGAGGGCATTTGTTGCTTTCATCGTGCCGGTTGCACCCAACTTGCCTGGAATGGCATTGGCAATCAGCGGCTACCCTGCGGTCCAGATCTCTGAGGGTGCTCAGCATCTCTACAGCTTTGATTGGCTATTTGGGTTCGTCGTTTCGATGTTCCTATATACAACACTGAGTTGGGCTGTGCCTGCGAAGGAGACCTTGGTTGAGCGAACAATCTTGACCAGGGAGGACGGAATCGAGATTGAGGGAGCGCGAGACGGCAGTGACATCGAGAACCCAAAGGTGCCCGAGAAGGTGTTAACAGAAGCGGGAGACGGTCGCCATACTCCTGAAGCTAGAGGCCAATAATGGAGGAATGGGGTGATCTCAAGAATGGAACCTGGAGTAGGACCGACCCTGAGCGATGAATTTGACTGTCTGACTTCCCTTGTTCTCTATATTGATAGTGGCATCTGCATCCAACAGATCCACCCATTCCACTGGGCGAAAGAAGAGATTGATGAAAAATGCACATGAAGCCTAAGCTTGTAGATCGATCTAGTAGAACATCTCGCAAGGAAGACGGTTGCGGGGTTCAGAGAAGGGGGTGAGACATGGGTTAATTATTTTTACTCATTTATTAGTCGTGTACGTAGCTGTGGTATCTTGGCTAGCAGTGTAGAATGAACTGCTCTCTCATCATGGTCTCCTGTCATCATTACTCCCATAGGAAAGAAATATCATGGCTCCTGCTCGACAATATTGTTGAGACGCGGCTGCAGTTGTGCGAGTGCTGAGCGGTCGTGCCCGTCGGGATAGGCACGGAAAACCTCTCCTCGCATCAGCCTACGTGGTGCTCGTCTGCCTGTAAACAGCTCAAACTGAGCGAAACCCTGCTCAGGCAACAGATCAAGACCGTCCATAGTAACCCAGCCCCGATGCGACACTTTCCTCGCTTGGTTCAAGATCGGGGTATCTAGCGTCTTGTAACCCAGCTCAACCAGACATCCGCCAGTCGGACTACCCAGCCATGCCTGTGGCGCCTCGAAGTTGGGTGCGGGGACATCGCCAATGCTATGTGTCGGTATGCAGGAGACGATCATTGTAGGCAGCCGGAAGTCTTCGGGCCATGGCTCATCCAGGTTCCGGATGATGTGGAATTTCGTTTCCACATCTGAGGTTGCGCTGAGGAGCGGCAGATCGTGCCGTTTCAACAGGCGTGTAAAGTGATTGACCATCTTTTCCGCGTTCGTTATTGTCCGGTTGTAGACCACGATGTTCTTGACTCCAAGTTGTAGCATACTGTAGGTCGCTGCGCGAGCCATACCGCCAGCACCGATGATGAGGCCGCAGCTCGATGTTCGCACTGCATTGGCGGGAGAGAGGCCTCTGCGAATGCAAGCCCGGATACCGATCCAGTCCGTGTTCTCTCCATAGAGCGCCCTCACCGGACCGGCGCGATTGCGGCAATTGAAAAGCTTCTCGTCTTCTGGAATAGTACCGTCGGGATTCAGTCGACGTACAGGGACCAGTGTATTGACTGCACCTATCGCCTGCGCATGTCGGCTCAAAGAGTGTGTAAGGGTGATGATTTCGACTTTGAAGGGCAAACCAACACTAGCCCCCGCGAAGTAGGGATCCTCAATGAGCTCTCGTAGCCCGTTCAGGGAAGGTGTTGAGAACGGTCGGTAGAGGTGCGGAATGCCGCAAGCCTTCAGGGCGGCATTGTGCATGGCTGGTGACAAACTGTAAGAGACGTGGGCACCAAAGACGTAGATCTTCATGGGGTCGAACAGAAATGAGTTGTAAAGTGCTTGCGTCGCTTGAGCTGCCGTCAAGCATGGTTGGCCTGGGTTGTAAGTCGATGATACGGGCTTCTCTGGCACAACACTGGTCAGGACGTGGTTCATGGCCGCCGAGTGTCTGCCTCGAGGCCCTGAGTTGTAAGCAATAAGGGGAATCTTGTGGCCCGTAGAAGCCTCAACCAGGGCCTTGAGGTGACTGATATCGAAGTTGTCCTTGATCGAGGTCACCGGCTTGACGAGCCGGACCAGATCACATCCTAGACGCCGTGCTCTGTGATATTGTGACATCCAGAAAGGGTCTGACCACGACGGAGAGTCGGCTGCAGGCGTCAAGTGACCAATAATTTTTGATCGTCTCTTCATAGAAATGATGTGCAATAGTTGAAAGTCGTTTAGGCGGAGGTCGACAGTGAGGTATTCAGGACAGAGTCGTAGGCCGTGTAGTATGTAGTCCGTGTAGACCGACTCTGAAGAATCTGGAAGAACAACGTGGTACATCAAGGGTATTACGGTGCTCCTCCTAATGGACCCAATGATTCTAGCAATATCGGCGGCTCGCTCGGAGTCTAGTGATTGTGCACCAGCGATTCCGTCGACGACGATTTCAATAGCATCGGCTCCGGTCTCCAGCTCTTCAATGGCGAGTTCATTGTTAAGCAGGCTTGATAGAGAGACCGAGATGGCGTAAGTGAACCTCCTGTCCTCCGTAGGGATGGAAGCCAATGGGAAAGCCGACTCAATGAACGGGATGGAGCCCTTGGGCATGATGAGACTGAGGAACTTCAAGAAATGCCTCTCTGCCCGCTTCAAAGTCAGGTAGGGAGCAGGTGGCTTTTGACCGCCAGCGTGAGCCTCAATTCTCGCGGCATCGGTTTCGATCCATGGGTCGGCCGTCTCAGAGACGTTGAAGAACTCAAGATTGCTGCATGTCCGGAAAATGGTGCTGCTGGCGGCCAGCAGATTCCTCGCCTTGTCTTCGTCCTCGATCTTTAGGTGCTCTTGAATAGCCTTGACGTCCCGCACAATATGGACGACGGGATGTGTACGACAAAATTCTCTCAAGAGAGTCTGGACCCCGCGTTCCATCCAGCTGCACACAATCAAGGTGCTCTTGGAGTTCTGGTCGAGGAGATCCCGCAGGACGTCTGTCTGTCGGCGGTGACATTCAGCGGGGCCATGGGCCCTCTTATATGCGAAGCTGGTCAGGCCAGTGACCTGTTGGAAGGCCTTTTCGCAGTCGACGGCCCTCCGTTCCATGGCGGTCGAGGCAATTATGGCGAGCGTCGATTTGCCTGCGCCGCGAATGCCGGCAAGGACAATGGAGGCATCGGCAGGGAATGGCGGAACCTCGCCAGGAAGATGGGCTGTGGGTGTTGCTGGTCTCGTGATTGGCGTCTCTGGTCGTGAACACGCAGCCATGGAATATCTGCTACTGTTGGTCCTCGGGCTCTGGGGTTGACTCGGCGACGCAGAATGGCCATTGCGACCGTCGACACGGATGAACTTTGCGGGATTCTCGAGTTGGTGGTGATGATGGTCCTCCTCATCGCTCATGGCGGTGGCCACGTAGGACCGCTTCACTCCGGCTGTCGCCATGGCTCCTCGGCCTGCCTGGCTGTAGCAGCAGTACAGACGCAAGTGGGTTGAAGAGGTGGAAGAGAAAGTCCAGGATGCATGCGCACGCGCCGGTGTCGAGTTGAGACTCAAAGAGAGAGGGCGCGCGAATACCTCTGTCGTTGGGCTATGTTTCGTGCAAAGCCGTTCAGCTGTGGTCCAACAAGGTCAAGCTCTCTCTGGAGGAGAGTCAAGTCAGCCAGTCCACGTTGGGTCGCGCCCCAATTCCTACGTAGTACGAACACACCGCGGCATAATTGTTAGGTCACTAGGTGGGAGGAACCTCAAAGCCGTTCCCCAGTTCCGACCCTCGGGGCTAGATTGGTGCCCCTCCCTTACTCGGCGCTAAGGTGGGATACTCTGATAAACGTTTAACCCTGTGCTTGAAGTTAGTGAGCTACTTGTGGGCGTGGGGGAACGTTGTCCTACGAGTTGAAGACAGGAAACTCGGCTGTTTGAGATTTGCGGCGGGATAACTTGGGATGAGCCTATGAGGCCCTCGTGAATGCCTCTTGAATCTAGGGTGTGCTGGCTATTGTCAGCTAAAGTCGAAGGGTTGCCATCTTCAACCCCCCCTGGTCTTGACTCTTAGATTTGGATACCATCTGGAGACATGGCCTCACTGCAAAGTATCTCCTTAACACCCCGCATGCCGAGTCGTCCGTACTCACCATCTCGCGACCAATTAATGCCACAGAAATGCCAGCTGACCAGCCTTTCCAGCCTGCCCTTTGTCCCATGAGGTCCGAGATCTAGCAACAACCTTTGAGGGCGGCACCGCGAGCGTCGGCCTGTGAGGTTACCCCAGGATTTCCCCACTCTCCGTCCAGCACAGCGCGCGGGAAATCTTGGAGAAGAAGCAAAGACGACGTTAATCTCATCATTGCTTGTTGTTTGCTGAGTCTGATACTACTGCTGCTGCTATCCGTCCCGCTGCTGGAGTTGCTGCTTATGCTGCTCGACCGTGTGCTATCATACCTTGCTCGTCCCGCTCAACGCAACGCAACGCAACGCAACATCCACTCGCAAATCACAACCCCAGTCGGTGCTCACTTCGCTTCAATCATCGCCCGCAGCGCGCGCTCTTTTGCCCTCGCAGCTCCCTCGTCGACATCACCGCTTCTCGTGGCACGCCCTCTATGCCGTCCTCCGCGGCGTGAGCCATTGGAGCTACCCTGCCGCTTGCGGCTACGACTAAAGGATGCCATCCAAGAGAAAGGCCCAAGATGCCGAGAACAGTGTCACTTCGACCTCTGTCCCAAAGCGCCAGAGGGTATCTCGAGCATGCGACCAATGCAGAAGGCAAGCAGAGTCCAACACCATTGTTTCTCCCTTTCCCTTTCCCTTTCCCTTGTCATCATCGCCTTGTAGCTGGCCTTCCCTTCAAGCGACTGGAAGTCCAAGAGACGACAAGCCCAGACTCCTCCGTTGCAAGCGTTTCGGCATAGCTAATGCTTTGTCGATAATGTTCTGCACATGCCTGCGATATCGGCTCTGGTGCTGACCTCAGTATCATTATCACCAGCTTTCTACATGTGAAAACCGAACTTGTGCTAACTATGAGGACAGTGCCCGAGAGAAGTGTGATGGCGTCCAACCTCAATGCTTCTCCTGTGTAACCTTGTCGCGGCCATGTACATATAATGTCGCACCGAAGAAGCGCGGCGTTCAGACCGGCTTGATCCGAACTCTCGAGCTTGCCCTTGTATGGCTCTTCGACCAGGTTCCTGGAACAGAAGAAAAGCTGGCCGGTCTACTCACACAGGAGGGTGGTGGTGGCCAGTCCCTCCTCCTCGACAAAGACAGCGAGGCAGGAAATCGCCTTCACAAAAGATGGAGGAGATGCCGTGTTCACAAGGATATTGACCGGCTACTCTCTGGGAAAGACGGCATAAGTCCCCGCCAGGATACCTCTGGAGACGAATCGGATGCCGAAGCTGATGGCCGCAACAAACGGAACGGAGAGACTCCGTTGGACGGTCCTGATGTTTCTCCGCAACCTAATGCCGTTGATCGCAAACCTGACGCCACCCAGAAGGAACCAGTACCGAGACAACGGCATGGCTCCAGGTCTCGGCGAAGGTTCAAGTTACCAAGCAATTTCCCTCGATTATTAGAGGTTTACTATTCGTACAA